TATTGGCAACAGCTACCAAAGTTCTCAAGCATGTTTACATAATTTGACCTAACAATCCTTCTAAGAATTTATTTGGGGAAATAATGAGAATATTAAATATATATGTATGAATAATTATATTATATATTAGATTATATGTTAGGTTATATATCATATAATTTTATATATATCCATTGGAACATGCTTTATGACAGCAAAACATTAGAAAGAACCAAAATGGAAACAATAGAAAACTGAATGAATAAATAATAATCTGTCCATTTGATAGAAGATTATCATGCCATTAAAAATAATTCTTTTGTTAGAGAATGTTAAATATATGGGGGAAAGTTGCAACAGTTTCTTAGGTGAAAAATGCAGGTTGCAAAATTATATATACCATGTGATCTGTTATGATCACAATGGCAAAAAAAATTTATAACTTTATAGCAACCACAGAAATATAGCCACTAAAATTACAACTGGTGATTTGTGGGTGACAGAATTTTCATTTCCCTCTTGGTGCATTTTCTTTTTCTAATTTTAATTCAGTGATTACATGTTTTTATATAATTTGAACACAAAACAAATGTTATTCAAATAATCAAAAAATTCGTAGAGATGACAATTGAGTCTCATGGTTTTTCTTTTGATTTCTCTAAATTTTCCATAACAATAGTCACTGGCTTAGTCTGCTCAAGCTGCCAAAATAAGTATCATAGACTGGGCAGCCTGAACAACAAAAATTCATTTCTAGCAGTTCTGGAAGCTGGGAAATCCAAGAGTAAGGTGGTGGCTGGTTCAATTTCTGGTGACAGCTCTCTGGTTCTTTTTTGTGCCCTCACATGGTGGAAGGAGAGGACTCTCATTTCCACTTCTTACAAAGGCCACAAATCCTATCAGGTTAGGACTCCACACTTATTTAACGTCATTTAACCTTAAATACCTCCTAAAAGCCATATCTCTAAATACAGTCACACTGGGGGTTCAGCTTCAGCATAAAAATTTGGGAATGGGAGGCACAATTCAGTCCATGGCCGTTCTTTCACTTTTATGCTTTAAGACAACCAACAATTTAACAACTGGGTTTCTATCTGGGGTGGGAGCAATGAGGAACTGTCCTAAAATACGTATGGACAGGTCTCTGGGAAAAACTACCGTAGCTTGAAAAGATCTTACATAAAGGTAATTCTTAAGTTTTTCCCAACTCTACCACTAAAATGTCACTATTTTATTTATTAAGATTGTATGTGCTACTTATAATTAGAAAAATGAATGTTATTTAATAAAAAACATATACTAAATGCAAAATATGAATTAAATATATGGCTATTTCACTTGGTTTTCACAAAGATCTATTTACATGAGACAAAGTTAATGAGTTCAAAAAATTCTTTAAAAATAAATCTGAGGGGCGCCTGGGTGGCTCAGTGGGTTAAGCCTCTGCCTTCGGCTCGGGTCATGGTCTCAGGGTCCTGGGATCGAGCCCCGCATCGGGCTCTCTGCTCAGCGGGGAGCCTGCTTCCTCCTCTCTCTCTGCCTGCCTCTCTGACTGCTTGTGATCTCTCTCTGTCAAATAAATAAATAAATAAATAAATCTTTAAAAATAAATCTGAAATAAGGCATTTTCAGTACAGAAAGGCTGTACAATATCTAGTCAGCTTATGATCTTCAATGACATTCTTAATTCCTAGTTTTTCACATGTATCTAAACTTACCAGGTATCATCTTTACAGTGGGTCATCTAAATGTATGTTTATAATTTTGCAATAACAAAAGCTCGTGATAAGGAACGATGTTCTGTGCATAGTTCTCACTCACAATCTATTTTGGGGATTTAGTTTTCAGAGACTGGTCTCCTCAGGATAGGCCACATGGGCATCACAGGACTACTGCAGACTCCCTGCGGGCCTGAGGTACTTGCCTCGACAAATCACAAGGACCTGTTTCCCATGCTTTCAGATTCTGCTTATGCATGGAGAGCTGTGTACAACTGAGAGAGAAAACACTGGTTTTGAGATTCTGTAGAATCAAAGAGATGTTGCAGGGATGGGAGAAGACAAACGCTTCAGGACCGTAGAAGAGGGGTTGGGCAACCATAAATCAGAGAAAGACGCCGGCCCTGAGGAACGAGCCACTAACCCTGGAGAGGGAGCCGCCTTAGTGCACTGATGACGGATGAGCCTGTGCCTGTTGGAGACGAGAGTTGCTCTAGCAATGTTCAAAGAGTGGGTAGGAAGAATGTGGTTAAATCATCCAGAATAGCCACAGCAGTGAAAGAAGCAGAGAGAAAGTCTGCATTAGAGGGGATTCAAATACCATCTGGGGGTTTTATTACAGAAAGTCGAGTGAAGCACATTGAAATGTGTTCTGTTCCTCGTCTCGCTGTAAAAAGTACCAACCAACCATTGAAACGGAGTTTCTTTGGAGCTGGTGGTGTTAGCCAGACTCCCCAGTGAAATCTGAGTCCGACTCTTCTTGTTGTCTATTTGTTTCACACACAGTGCCCTCTCCAGATGTATTCTTTGTAGCCGGATAGCTTGGATGGAAACATTTCTAACTGATCACAAAGGATCTCATGCAAGTCTCCAAATACAAAAACGATAGCATGGGAAAGAAAAGGATAGATATCAGAAATAACTTTTTTTTTAGTAAAGGAAAGAAAGAAACAATACGCAGAAGATTTCTAGACATTTCCTAAGTATCTTTCTACATACTGAGACCACATCAAGCTCCGTAACACATTGCTTGTGCCCTACCATTACCTTACTCAGAGAAAGCTAGTGGCTCAAACACGTAGTGGACTGAACTGTATCCTCCCCAAAACTCACAGGCTGAAGCCCTAACCCCCTGATGTGCTTATATTTGGAGAAAGATCCTTTAAGGAGGTAATCAAGATTAAATGAGGTCATAAGCGTTGGGCACTAATATGACAGGACTGCAACCTTATTAGAAGAGGATGAGGCACTAGAGATCTCCTTCTCCACATATGCCAGGAGGAAAGGCTATGTGAGGACACAAAGTGGTGAGGTGTGGCTGCAGAGTCCTTTTCAGAAACCAACCCTGCTGGCACCTCGATCTTGGACTTTCCAGCCTCTAGGATTGTGAGAACTAAATTTCTGTTGTTTAAGCCATGCAGCCTATGATATTTTGTTACAGCAGCCCAAGTAAACTCATCTAGATAGCCTGCAGGGTCCCTCATATGCTTCTAAACTATATCTCCAGAAGTATGTCTCTCTCCCTGTTTCTGGGTCCAAGCACTATCCATGTAATATGATTTATGAATCCTAACAACCATACCTTTGTGTTCAGTGCCCTCATCCTTATTAATGCTTTTTCTGAAGCATTAAGATATTAAGTCTTACCCATTTCTCATGTTTCATCAGAGGTTCTGATTGATTCCTCTGCGGAGCCTTTCTCCTTCACCCCAGGTGGGCAGCGTTCCCCTTGTCTGAACTCCTACTGAACTTCCTGCCTGCACTGCTAATTTGACCTTGATCACGTGCTGCTAGTACTTCTCTGAGAGGAATGTCAGATTCCTTAGCTCACACATTTTTCTTACAATCTGAATTCATCATTACAAGATCTAGAACACAGAGAAAAATACACCAGAAAGAAACAGCACCTTTATTAGCTCACCAGCAATCAGACCATCCGATAACTACTTGCAAAAAATAAAATGCTTCATCTTTTGTTCTAAGTGTATGCATGTGTATATACAGAACCCAACTCCACACGCCTTATGTTATGCTTCTTTCACTTAGTCTGGAACATCGACAATTGTCATTATTCTTTCCAAAGTTGATTTTAATTGAGTCATAGAGTACATATAGTACATATAGTACATAGGATAGAGTCAATACTCTATCCTATGTATATAAATTACCAAATCCTCAGTGATGCCTGTTTAAATTATTTCTAATATATCTGTGTTATAAATACCTTGTGATAAATATTCTTACCAAATATTTCTTTGTATAAACTCATTAAAAATCCCCGGGATAAAGTTCTAGAACTCTTCTGAGGGGCACCTCCTACTCTATTTGCCCTTATGAGCTTCCATGAACTCCTCCAGATCAGTCTAATGCCTTGTCTTGTCCTTCCCTCCAACCAGCATCTGACTTATATGACTCCCTCTTGACTCAGAAAAATTATATGAAAACATTTCACAAAATTAAAAAAAAGCTAATTATTTGAGATATCACCACAAGACTTTTTAAAAGTCTACCAAAATCCATTCATTAGTTGCCTGAAGTTTTTATGTAAAGACTAAGGCAAAATGTCAAATTTTAGGACTATATCCTTATTTATTTATTTATTCATTTATTTGAGAAAGAGAAAGAGAAAGGGAGAAAAGAGGGGGTGCAAACGGGGAGAGGAACAGAGGGAGAGGGACAAGCAGACATGAAGCTCCATCTTACGACCCTGAGATCATGACCTGAGCAGAAATCAAGAGTCAGAGGCTTAACTGTCTGAATGACCTAGGCGCTCCAACTACATCCTTGATATTACAAAAATTAATGAACTGCTACTCGACATTTCCTTAGTCAGTGTTTTAACTTTGGAAAAGGGGAAACCTTGCCACAGTTCCAGGACTCTGGGCAGTAAGAACATGATTAGGTTTTCTCTAAGAATACTATTGTTTTCCCTACAGAAAACATATCTAGTGAATAATTCCTGATGGGGAAAAAAATCACGCTTTTGCGAATCAGGTTTTAAACACAACAGGAAAACTATTTACTTTTTTAAAATTTAGATTTTTCCTCTTTGGCTACAGTGGTTTTAATTATCATTGGTCCCTCCTAGCCAGGTGTCATATTCTGATTCACACACATGTCAGACAGCATTAAGCTCATTTAATCATTATATCCACCCTGTTAGGAGAGTCATACTCCCATTTTACAGATGAGAAAATGAGGTTTAGAGAGGAAAAATAATTTGCTGAACCTGACAGTCTAGAAATGCCGAGCTGGGAATTGAATCCAAGCGTACGAAGCCATCTCCTTTCACACCAAATTTACCTCTGAAATAGTTTTGCCCCAGGCGTAAGTGCCATCTTCAGGTCTGCCTCCATTTAGATAAATCCACACACGTTTTGCATTCGGTTGCTGATACAGGCTGCTCTGTCCGAGTGCGATACGTGTAGTTTCAACTGGAGAGTTTCTCTTGGCTTGTGGTTCTTGAACTGCAGAAAGGTGCGCCTGATAAGAAAAGCCCAGCGAATACCAGGGTTAGAGAACTGCCCGGCTAGTGTGTGTATGAAGAATGTGATGAAAACAGAAACACTCATGATTGCAAATAATATTTTAAAAATTTTAGGAAGTGGGGGCGCCTGGGTGGCTCAGTGGGTTAAGCCGCTGCCTTCAGCTCAGGTCATGATCTCAGGGTCCTGGGATCGAGCCCCGCATCGGGCTCTCTGCTCTCTAGGGGAGCCTGCTTCCTCCTCTCTCTCTGCCTGCCTCTCTGCCTGCTTGTGATCTCTCTGCCAAATAAATAAATAAAATCTTAAAAAAAAAATTTAGGAAGTGTATTACCCTCTCCCATCATGGACTCTTCTATGAATTCCACTTGCTTCTGTGAGCCACCAGGAAGGTGGTAATAATAATAACCCTTGGAGTAACAATAAGGTACTTTTTTTGGCAAAACACTTCACTTTCATTTACAATTTGGAGAATGAATGGAGATGTGTTTTTGGATTTCTATGTGGTGTTTCTCCTACTGAGCAATTTCTCTGCATCTAACCAATGAGTTTTTGATTAGAATCACAACATCATTTTCTTTAACAAAAAATCTTAAGGGAATGTGCATGACTGTTGAGTCTTCACTCTCTGTCTTTTAAAATACAGCAGCCAGCCTTATAATTTGCCAGATCCCTGCCAGGAAGCTTTTCATCTTACTTCAAGCATGTCCTAGTTCAATGCTTTGCATTCATTCCCTGGTCAGTGATTTATCCTTCTTAGCTTGGCAAGAAGTCATATTTCTAGCAATGTCAATTTCTTTTTTTTCTAGTAACCTTGACGTGGGCACACACCTAAGATTTAGATTGAACACATTCCACGATTTGAGAAACTCTATTAAATAAGAACATATCATTTTGATGAAAAACTTCACAAAGCAAAAAGTTTTCCCAGGTCTCTATCCCCAGTCCTCTCTCAACAGCTGACCTTTCTCTTCTCAACTTTTTTATGTCTGGCAATCCTGACTGATTAACCAATTGGACTGAAACTGCTTTTTGAATTCCTCACTCCTGAATGTCTCCATTGCAATTAGTATTTTGCTCCTTGCTCTTTCTACATATTGAGACATACCCTTAGGAGTGATGAGCAATGAAGCCATAAGGCTCAACTTGACTACACTTATTATAATTACCTTTGTACATATCCACTGGGCCTTTTTCTCTTCTTTGCTAAGGTCATAATTTTTGGTCTCCATTCAAACAAAACAGACTTTCATACGAGCTAGCTCTCTTTCAGATAACTACTCTCCAAATGCCAACTCAATGCTTGGCATATGCTTATTTGGTCATAACTGACCAGATGCTGAGGACATATTAATAGCTTAATTTTAAAATTCAATACTACCTTATTAAAGAGGCAGAGTCTTTAATGTCTGGAGTCCTGAAGAACGTACCTCTGTATGTCTTATGAGATCCATGAGTTTAATTTCCTCTTGAGTCTGCTCAGTCCAGCCTCCCTCCACCACCACCGGCTGCATGGGACTTTTGTTGGGAACCATGGCGGCTGGCTGACATGCTGCTACTCGCCGCCCTGGGGAAAGAAGGCCCTGGTAATGTTGTTTCTGAAGATGGGCTTTCAGATTTCAAATAAATTGGTTTGGCGTTCTATGCATAAATCATTCCACTTGGGAGCATAGGCTAAAATACTAAATATATCATAAAAGCAAATATGCCTAAGGTAATAATATCTAACAATGCCTCTTCATATGGGAGTTTGAGGCTTCAAATAGCCAGGATATGCATATTCACTGTACAGATGGAAAAGAAAGATAACATGCTGACTTCCACAGTGGCCCGGGCCTCTCCTGCACGATATGGTTCAGTGGTAATTTAGTCAAATAGAATCCATGACCTATATAGTCCATCATCTCTTCCAGTCATGGAACATATGTTTTGTTCTCTTTACTAATAATAAGGCTTTCCCCAACAATTAGCTTAGCAGCCTGGGGATTAAGTACTTCTAAAATAATATTAACCCAAGAGACAGGAGGCCTTTTTCTCCATCTAATAATACCCACAAGCACGATTAGTTTCTGACACCTCTGCTGTGCCCTTTAGGTTGTTAAAAAGCTGTGGTAAGAGAAAATTTTTATCGGAATACTGTACTCCAAATAATAATACGCATTATTTAATAAGTGTGTTGATTTAAATGTATGCATTCTTCCAGCTAGTCCACTTAAAATTATAAAAGAGATTTAAAAATCATACTTACAAAATTGTTTTCTTTTTCCATGTTGAAGATAAACTCACACTGAGTCTCATACTGATTCCTAAACTTCTTAAGTAATGATAATGCTTTCTTTCGCATGTTGCTTCTAGAAACTTATGCTGCACACCAGCTGTCAATCAGGGATTGGGCTAGATGAGGCCAATCCAAACATGTTCAAGACTTAGTCCTTGTCTCGAGTTTGGTGGGGAAGGCAGATGTCAAGGAAATGATTATACCAATAATTGATTGCAATTGCTGCTCCAGAGAACAGGATCTCTAAAAGTATCTCACAGGGGCCGCCACCCTAGTCTGAAGTGCCAGAGAAGGCTTCTTTGAGAAAGTAATGCTGAGGTGGATAAAATAATGGAAATACTAACATCAAATTGAGTCCTTTTTTTGTTGCTAAGGGAGTCTTAATATGCAGATTTTCAGACCATGACTACAAACAGAACTCTGAAAACAATTTAGTATTTGCAGAGAATAAAGCAACTGCACTCTTGTAAGCTCAAGTTTGTGGAAATAGATCAAGCAATAAAAATAAATGGCAGCAATGACTTTTCAGGGAAATCAGAATTCTACGTACCTAATAAGCATTCTATGCAATTTATGGATGTAGAGAAAACATAATTGAATCAGTCAGCCAATGAGTTACAGTGGCAATGCCATTAGGTTATGAGCTTTGGAGAAGACCATAGTTGTACAAGAAAAATACATAACACAAATTTACGCAAATATAGTTTTTAGCTTACTCTATTCATAAAGAGTAGACGACACTAATTTATGACACATAAATATTTTATTTATAGTGCCTTTTGAACACTAAAACTTTGCTCAACCAAAGAGAGCTCAGCAGTAGTTTATCATTTACACTCTTAAAAGCCAAGATTTGAATGCAGGAAAAGAGCAAAAACCATTATGCTTTATTTGTTTTTTGTCAACTTGCTTCTAATGGTCTTAAAAAAAATGAATGCATTTGCACTATAATTTTCATAAAGAGACATAAATTCATCATAAAAGGTTTTGGTTCAGGGAAAGATGTTCATAACAAACTACTATTTATGTAGGTAAGAATACAAATTGAAACCAAGAAAAATGTATTGATTAAATTATTTTATTTTCCTATTACATTCTCCATATATCTTATTTTAGTTCGTATGAGATCCGGGGAAAGTAACAATAATAGCTAACAATTAATAAGGAAACCTAGAGAACGTGAGTGCTTTGCTATTCTTTCAAATTGTAAATCTCACCCAGACAGCTCCCCTACCCCCTCTCCCTTGATCAGAGGCCCACCCCGGTTCAGCATTATCTGTGCTTGGGAGGGTAAGTCCACCTCACCTGAGGTTTTAGTCGGCAAATCCCTTCAGCTCTCATACTAAATAAAATGCCCCAGCATCACCTTTATTTATAATAAATGTGATACTTTGGCGTAATCTGCCATTTCTTCATTTCACTGATCATTTTTTAAGACCCCCAAGTCAGAAAATGGGCTGCCTTTTTAGTAACCCTTATTCTAATATTTGAGTATTTATTATGTGCTGCACATGCAGTAAATACTTGACATTTCTTATTTCATCATAAAACCCTACAAAGTCATTACTAGTATTGTTATTAATACTAGCAATGACCACACTTACAAATGAACTGTAAAATCAGCTTAGCACAGTACTTTATATATGCTTAATCAATACTTGTTGCATTCACCAATGGTTATAATAATGGAAAATAATCTACTTAGCTGCTCTTCCATCCAATCCCCAAGAAGCTCATCATCCAACAGGGACTACAGTTAACTGGACTTTGACTTGTTCTTATTTATCTTCATAATCCCGACAACTAGAAAAGTTCTTCCTCAGAGTAGGTATTTTATATGCATGTATTGAATTTACATTTAATAGCAGAAAATATAACAGTTTGTCAGTAGAGACAAGATTTATCTTAGCACTAAATTCTAAGAGAAATTTCATTAATGGATTGCTCCATAATGGACACCATCTGACATCTATCAAAAGTGATACTGCAGATGATACCGACTGAACTTTAAATGCTTTTTTTAAATAAATGCCTTTTTAATAATTATAATGAAAGCTGAAGACATAATATAAAATCAGAATACAGTAAAGGCAGCTCTGCCTGGTGTTATTTTCAGTATGTTGGTTTTTATTGATTTAATTTGATACAGAAATAGACCTTAGAAAACTCAGTGGAATGAATGGTTGAAATTCTGTTCATTCTTTAATTCAGTCCTTCTACAAGTATTCACAGCACAAATAAGAAGGTAGTAGAATTTATAATGTAACATGGGGAAGATAGTCACATGACCAGGTAATTATATTAATGTAATAATGATTATCAGAGGGGAAGTTCAAGGTGTGATAAACTGCATTATTCCTAATGTGGAAAAGGGAAAGTTTAGGAAGAAATAACAAGCAAGCTGAAAACCATTTAATCAGTAGAAGCAATCCAAAAGGACAAGGGAGAGAAAAGTTGAGGCAGAGGAAACTAAATTGTGCCAAATTCTTGGAGTTAAGAAAGCTCCTGATATGTCTCCAGGACTGAAAAATAGTCCAAATGGTGGAGTGGAGAGAACAAAGAAAGAGAGCAGCTTACACAGGACCATATCATGAAAGAACAAGTTGAAGAGTTTCATCTTTGTCTGAAAGATAATAGGAAACTTTGAAAGGTTTTATGCCTGGAGTACCATGACAGCTTTGTATTTTTGCCTGATCACTCCAGCTTCAGAATGTCCCCATTATGCATAGAATAGAAACTACTATCAAGACTGGAAGCAGGGAATCAAGTCACAAAGCTGTTATAGTAATCCAAGGAATAGATGACAATAGCTAGACTTTAGATAACACAGTTGAGGATGGAGACCAGATTCATTTGAGAAGATAGGTTGGAAGCAACAAGACTTACTGCTGTTTGCTTCGAGAAAGTGAGAGAGAGGGAGATGCCAAGGATAACTCCCAGGTTTCTAAGATGGAACACATGGGTGGATGGTGGTAGGGCCCACTGCTAGAAGAAATGAAGGAGATATTGGAGTGGTGATATGAAAACTTTAGTTTTGGACATGCCCAAGGGACATTTTGGTGAAAATGTGTAGTAGTTAGAATAGCAGAGATTACCAGTCATGATAGATGTTTTTCATGTAGACCCAATAATTCTTTTGGAAAGAACTGAATAATAGTTATTTCAACCCAGATTTCCATTTAGGGCACTTACAACTAGTTGTGTTGCTTATTGAAGTAAAATTCACATGCTTTTGACAACAGACAGTGTGTCTACTTAGGAGTTGAAATCCTGTCAGAGCAATGACAGAGCCTGAAATGTATTCCTTTCTAGACTATAATACACTAAAGTCCATAATACACTGTTTCTCCCCAAAGAACCATCTGGAATCTCAAGTGTTTGGAATTGTATAACGTCTAGAACCTAAGATTCTATGACAGAGAGAATGAAAGAGGAGAACAAATACTGCCAGTTGATCACTTTGACTGTGAATAGCATATCTTATGCTGCCTAACTTGAAGAAGCCCTGCTGATACTGACCTTTGAAAAATTCAGTACTTCTCACTCAGATCATAAAATAAACAGGGGCGCCTGAGTGGCTCAGTCAGGTAAGCCTCTGCCTTTGGCTTAGGTTATGATCCCAGGGTCCTAAGATGGAGCAGCAGGGAGTTGCTTCTCCCTCTCCCTTTGTGCTCGCTCTCTCTCTCTCTCTCTTTCTCTCTCTCTCTCTCAACTAAACAACAGCAACAAAAGACTCTCTCCCTCCTCCTCTGGCCCTCCCCTGTGCACATGCTCTCTCTCTCAAATAAATAAATAAATCTTAGGAAAAAAAAATAAAACCAAACCACCAAACAGGCAAACAAAAACAACCCCCAAACTTCTTTCCAAGCAATACCTAAGGAATAGACCAAAAGTTTTGTTTAAGGACTAATTCCAGAGCCCACAAAATGTTACTTCAGCAACTATTTCAATCCTAACATAGGGGTTAGATGACCCAGATACTCTCCTAATTTTAAAAATTTACATATAATTCATGTGGTATTCATTTTAATATAAAAGTTACAAATATAAAATCAGTACCAAAAGATATATTAGGTTTTAGACTTGCTCAAGTGACTTTTGTGACACAATATTTATAGTGCTCAGTTAAACATCTGGTATCTAATAGTAGGAAAAAACTTCCAGCAAATTGGGGTTACATTTAGAATTAAACATGGTGATACTTGATTTAGTTCATACTGACCTTTTAACAGTCTCATTTTGTGTTTCATGGTGTCTAGATCAGCCAAAATTTTGTCCTTTTTTAACCAGTTCTGTTTTTCTACTTTTTCTGCTTTCTGCAAAGCTAGAAAAAATACATGGTTTTTTATCTTGCATTGTGTTATCAACAGTAATTTATCACGCAAGCCAATAATTTATAAAGAACTTTCTGCTCCAAGAAATAGATTCAATTAGAAACAAGTAATTAAAAGGTAAGGGTCATTAAAAGAAACCTCATTTGAAAGATGACAGGGCTTAAGGCATTTCTTTATGGAATGGAGAAGGGGGGAAGAAGAACAGTGCTGTTTTATTATATAGATTTACCATATGCAATAGCCATATTTCATTTTCCACTTCCACAAACTATTTGGAGCTGATGAAAGCCTGGCTTGGAACCATTCATTTTTTAAACATCCACCTACTGCCTAAAGGGTGCAATTCTTAAAAATGAAAATGTGCAGACAGGTCGTCTTCAGTGTGAATTAAACTCATTTGTTATTTTCTAATGTATACCATTATTCTCAGTCTTATAGACCAAGGATCTCTTTATCAACTAAATTGGACATTTTTCCATGCAGAATACTCCATTCCAGTAAGAAAAAACAGGCAACTGTACAAATATAGTACAGCTATCCTTGTGCACATGTTAATTGATGGACTTCCTGTTCTTTGCATAAATGTGATGTTATTATGTTGGCATTATACACATTTAATTCTTTTCTTATGGTGACATAAAATTTATTTCTCTCTTCTTTATATACTTGCTTGAAAGCAAACGAAAACAAAAAACTTACTCTTTGGAGATAGAAATGGTTCACCGCAGGATACCCAGATAGCAATGGGATTTCTGAGGACGAGGGTGAGCAGAGACTTATCTATACCATCCAAACTATCGGATGTCACAGACTTTGGAAACAATTTGGTTTTCACTTTCATTCTCTGGTTTTCTAGTAAACAAATGGCACAATAACCAATGCACGATAAATAATGAATAAATTTGCCTCCTGAATTTGTTTATTCAAAATATTTCCTGTCTCATTAATGAGTCAATTTAAACAGGTAATACCTAAACCAGATGCAAATACATAAATATGATCAGAAATTTCATATGCAACCAAATAATTTAAAGTAATGTGATTATAAATATACTTTAAATTCTTTTCTTATGCTTTACTAGATATGAAAGAAATCTGAGGTGGTTTACTAAAATATCTACTCTGAAGAGGAATAAAAATAAAGAGATAAGAAAACCAAGGAAAGGAGGAAAGAAGTATAGTGATAGAGTAAAGCCAAAGACAAAACGCCTTAGTGTCCTCTTCTTTTAAATGAAGAGTAGTATCTATCTTATTCTGCTGTTGGGAAGATTAAAAGGAAAAAAAAAAAAAAGGAAACAGTTAACAAAACCAAAAGACAACTGACAGAATGGGAGAAGATATTTGCAAACGACATATCAGATAAAGGGCTAGTATCCAAAATCTATAAAGAACTCATGAAACTCAACACCCAAAGAACAAATAATCCAATCAAGAAATGGGCAGAGGACATGAACAGACATTTCTGCAAAGAAGACATCCAGATAGTCAACAGACACATGAAAAAATGCTCCACATCACTCGACATCAGGGAATACAAATCAAAACCACAATGAGATTCCACTTCACACCAGTCAGAATGGCTAAAATTAACAAGTTAGGAAATGATAGATGCTGGAGAGGATGTGGAGAAAGGGAAATCCTCCTACACTGTTGGTGGGAATGCAAGCTAGTTCAACCACTCTGGAAAACAGCATGGAGGTTCCTCAAAAAGTTGAAAATAGAGCTACCCTACGACCCAGCAATTGCACTACTGGGTATTTACCCTTAAGATACAAATGTAGTGATCCAAAGGGGCACATGCACCTGAATGTTTATAGCAGCAGTGCCCACAATAGACAAACTATGGAAAGAAAACCTAGATGTCCATCAACAGATGAATGGATAGAGAAGATGTGGTGTGTGTATACACACACACACACACACACACACACACACACACACACACACACAGGAATACTATGCAGCCATCAAAAAGAATGAAATCTTACCATTTGCGACGACGTGGATGGAACTAGAGAGTATTATGCTTAGCGAAATAAGTCAGTCAGGGAAAGACAACTATCACATGATCTCCCCGATATGAGGAAGTTGAGATGCAACGTGGGGGGTTTGGGGGGTAGGAAAAGAATAAACGAAACAAGACTGGATCAGGAGGGAGACAAACCATAAGAGACTCTTAATCTCACAAAACAAACTGAGGGTTGCTGGGGGGAGGGAGGTAGGGAGATGGTGGTGGGGTTATGGACATTGGGGAAGGTATGTGCTATGGTGAGTGCTGTGAAGTGTGTAAACCTGGCGATTCACAGACCTGTACCCCTGGGGCTAATAATACATTTTATGTTTATAAAAAAAAGAAAAAAAACTATAAAAAAAAAGAAAAAAAAGGAACGTGCTTAGAATAAATGGTGTTTGGTCTATTTAATTGGACGAGCATCCAAAAAATGCTAGATAATATTTTTGTTATTGAATGGACATGAAAGCAACACATTTCATTTGCTAGAGTTAAATCGTTTGGGTTCTGAACATTCTAGGGGCCCAAGCAAAGAAGAAAACACAATTTCAAGATTCACATGGGCCACACAGAGAGATAAATTTCTTAGAAGATACAACTTTTCTGGTCCTGATATCTGAGAGAAATTTATTTCAGGGTCTTCATAAGGGGGTTATTTGTGAGGTAGCAAACAGTATCCTATAAAAGAAGCAAACAATATTGAGAACTTACGACACACTGGGCATTTCACTAAGACCTCTGCATTATCTCAGGTAAATCTCAAAATGATACTCTGAGGTATGTCCATTCTTCTTTTACAGAGTAACGGGGGCTAAACACATAGCTCAGTAGCAGCAGAGTCAGGCTTAGAACCCAGGCCATGTGCCTCCAAAGCCTGTGCCCTTTACCACTATCTCCATAGCAATTGTTTTCCACAATGCAAATTGGTGGCATAACACAAGCTGAGATTCAGTAAAAGGGGGCAACCCACTAATGAACCAGCCTGATTCAAGGATAACCTCTAGATTATAGAGGGGAAGGGATGGCCATACCCTTTTAGTACCCAGCGTGAATACCATTACTTCCAGGCAACTTTTAAATAACAATTTGAAAGAAGAGTCTTTGATATTGTAATCCTCTAGAACCTGGAGATCAGATATTTCATATGCCAAATAAAGGCCAAACTATATGCTTTAATGATTAGCTAGGCATTAAATGTTGACATAATTATTTTAAAAAACTCATTAGAAAAGAGGACAGTAATATCATTGTGAAATAATAGAAAATATATATATTAGTCTCTGCCCTATGTTCCTGGCAGAGTACTTCTACTGGTCATTTTCTAAGTGATAAGAGCACTAGGAGCATCTCTTGTTCAAATATTTTGTCTTTGATCCTGGCTCCTGACACAGACTCCTAAATCCTTCGGAATTTCCTGGATGGTAGCAGTATCTTGCCGTCATCGTCTTTGTCTTCTTCTTCTTCTTTTTAAAATTTTATTTATTTATTTGACAGACAGAGATCACAATTAGGCAGAGAGGCAGGCAGAGGTGGGGAGCGGGGAGAGGCTTCCCGGCGAGCAGAGAGCCAGATGTGGGCCTCGATCCCAGGACACTGAAATCATTACGTGCATCGAAGGCAGAGGCTTAACCCACTGAGCCACCCAGGAGCCCCAGTATCTTGTCTTCTAATGAGACTTTGGGCAGACTCTTGGAGGAAGATTGGTCATCAGAAAGACCAAGCCATGATTAGAACCTTGGAATTTTCTACCCTACTCTTCACTCTCCAGAGTAGGGAGAGAGGCTGGACATGGAATTAGTGAACAATCATGGCTACATGATGAAATCTCCATTAAAAATCCCAAAAGTACAGGGTTTGGAGACCCTCTGAGTTGGTGAACACATGGAGATGGTAGGAGAGTGGTAGGCTTGGAGAGAGCAGAGAAGCTCTGTACCCTTTTCCCACACACCTTGCCCAACTCATCTCTTTCACCCGGATGTTCATCTGTATTCCTTATCATATCTTTTTATAATAAACCAGTAGACAGTAAGTAGATCATTTCCTTGAGTTCTGTGAGCTGCTCGAGCAAATTAATCCAACTGAAAGGAGGAATCATGGGAATTTCCAATTTAAACCAATTGTTCAGAAACACAGGTCTGGACAGCTTAAGTGGGGATGGAATGGGGAGCAGTCTTATGGGACTGAGCTCTTAACCCATGAGATCTGATGCTATAACCAGGTAGAGAGTGGAAAGACTGAGTTAAATTGTAGGACACCCAGCTGGTGTCCTACACCAGTTGCAGAACTGTTTGGTGTGGGGAGAAAACACACACACTGTGTGTCAGAAGTGTTGTGAATGTGATAAGTGTGTGAGAGTAAAGAAGAGACACACAGGAATAAGAGTGGGTTTTTTCTACTCAACTGTACACACAATAATGATCACTAATACTCATTAAATATTTAGTAAACATCAACCAGGCATTATTCTCAGCGGCATATACATTTATATATAAACTCTTATTCATATGTTTTATGAACACATGTTTGTATTTATGAGGACCAAATGAGTATACATTTACATGATTATCAGTGTGGAATTCGTAAAATGAGGAAACTGGGATACAACAAGTTAAACAACTTGCCCAAGATCATTTAGCCAGAAAGGAAAAGAGGTAGGATCCGAACCCTGGAATTCCGGCTCCAAAACCCAAGTTCTTAATCTTCAAATCATGACTCTCTGTACAACAGTGGAAAGCTGAGATCACTCGCTGATTCACTGTGAGCAAGACTCATTTGTATTAAGCAAACTGTTGCTGGGGACGCAGTTTCTGTCCTCAAGCTGTATGCAGTTTAATGAGACACACAAAGATGTAAACAGATTATAATACATGTTCTAGGAGCTGCAATACTGGTAGGTGCCTTCACGGTGCTTCTGGGAGTTTAGAGGAGCGGTGGAGACAGGCAGGGGCAAGGGCGGGCAGCTTGTAGGCAGGAGGTATAGCGAGGACCTCTTCTCTTCAAATAATAGAGATTCTACTGATCCAGCCCCACCTTCTTAAGTGGTCTCTGGTTGATTTTGGTTTTAAATGTAAAAGCAAAAGCTGCTTATGTTACATAAAGTAGCTAAGTTGTCAAATATATTTTATAAATTTGAGGCAACTTATTTATTGTTTTGGTGCTAAGACTAAATTTACATTAATTGTTAACTTTTTCTTATCATTCTGCAAGGTAAAAGCAATATGACAATTTCACAGGAGAGCAGCTTCCTGTGATTTTGTAATTCTAGAAGGGGTGACCTAGTCACAGAATCACATTTAACATTTTTATGATGAAAAGTAGAATCAGCTAAATCTTATAGAATGTAACCAACCTTTCATACTTTTAATAGTTGTCTCCTTTGTTTGAACAGGAACTGCCTCTTTCTTTTGTTTCTCGGTGTCTCTCTGGATGAAAGACTCCTCTAGCGCCCATAAAACCAAATCACATAAGGAAAGGATCGTGGTCCCATCTTTGGTATATACTTTGGAGGCTGCCCTGGTGAGACCAAGTTGCTTCATGCATTCTGTAAGAAGCTAAATAACACGGATTGTAAGGAATTGATGAGACAAAAGAGTGATAGGGCTGGGGAATAATCATGAAGAGCTTATTATTTTAGAAATTTGAGAAAATCCATTAATTTGCAAAAATAGAAAGCTAAATAATGACAGACTTGATCTTTGATTAGAGACAATTTTTGGTATCAGACTGTCCTACATAATTTCACAAAATTAGTCCACTCAAATTGTGAAAATAAGCTTCAAAAATTTAACACAGCAGATGATGTATGTTAATACATTTTATCATCTGAGTATTTACTCCCTAAGCAGTGTTCAATTTAGAGATCCACTTTCAACTTTGTTGCTTTATAAGGCATAAAACTGTAGCACTTCGTATGGATGAACCAGTTTAAAATAAATGAGTAGTTGCCTTTCAAACCCAAACTAACACATATTCTTACTTTCATTTTGCAGATAGGGAAACAGGCTGAGAGGTTGACATTTTTTCCAAGACTCCACAAGCCAGCTGTGGTGCTCCGGGTGAATCTTGAAGTTGCTAACTTTTGGGATTTGTTTAGTTCACTGAATAATATCTTAATAAAAAGGCTACTTGCATTCAGAAGGCGAATAGAACAAGTAGGTGTGTATGTGTGTGTTTTCAAGGAAGTCTCCAGGGTATGTTCATATCACATTTAATTTTGCTTATAAAATACGCTGTTAAAGGCATTGGTCAGAATGTATAGACAAGATAATCACCAAACAAAAGAAGGACAAAGCTGGGTTTGGACCTTTTGAGCTCTACGACAGAAACCACAAGTTCCTTCCTAACACAACTCTTGCTTCTCTGATTTGAGAATGAAATGAAACAAACCTGTCAACAAATAGGTGCTCAGATTTTACAAATGATAAATGAGGCGGCAGCTCTTAGAATATTCAGATGACATACAGCTTAAAGCTGGAATGGGAAGGAAGGTGAAAAAAAGGGGGGGCATTCTCTCTATCACACAAGTGAAGAAAATCTGGTAGCTTCCCCCACCCCCCCCCCACTGCTTTTATGTATCTTTGCTCTGGAGCCAATCTAAAAATCATATTCTTTCTTTCTTTCTAAGTCTGTATCCAAAGAAATACAATAAAAAAGAATATCTTTAAGAAAACAGAGATCTTGAAAAAAAAAAGAAAGAAAGAAAAAAAAGAAAAGAAAAGAAAACAGAGATCTTGATCTCATTAACCTAAATTGGTGAAACTGGCAAGGGACATTTATCATTCAATCCCACTGCTTTTTTTCTTGTCAGAAGAATCACTATTATCTTTACCTTGGAGGATGCAAGAAATGTTTAAGTTATAGTCACTTACTGTGGGGAATGTACCAGCCACAATTAACTTCCCATTCCGATATCCACCTCCGTTTTTGTATGCAATTATTTTCACTGCTTTCTGGTGCGTAGCTGCTGTACCACTATGAGGTACAACTTGGGTGCAAGTCTTCCTCCGTAAAGATAACAGGCGTTCTTCATAATAACTTAGCGTTTTCTCAGCCTCATAAGAAGATAAATCAGCCTGATCAAAAACAAAAACGAAAAAGCACAAAGGTCTACTCAAGCTTTTACTTTTAGTTTTTGTTGTTTTGGTATGTTTCAGTCCCTTAATTTAAGAAACATTTGCATGCACCTGGGTGTGATATCTAAATTTTGAGATGCTCGCTCTGCATGTTGTAGGTACTGGATACCGCAGTGGGAAGAACATTGGGTCAGAACTCAGTTCTCTTCCCAGCCCTGTCACTGAGTCTCTAGGTGACTTTAGGCCTCTGGCTTGTGTTTCTGGCCTTCTCCCGTTTTCTACTCTGCCTTCTCCTGTGACAGGAGCTGCGGGAAAAGGATGCAGGGGCCAGAGAAAGCCTGGCCTTGAAGTAATGGGATGCTGGCACTACAGATAATCTCTTCCTCTTTAACCCGAGGATAATGCCACTCTGTGGAGGCAGATACTGATGAATGGGGAGGGGAATGAGTGCAGTCCTAATCTACATGATAATTAGGGTGGTGGACACCACATTTCCCCTTTCCCTCCCTACTCAGGATGCTGCTTTGAAGGAAAAACGCTTTCTGAGATGCTTTAACACTGAGGATTCTTTCCAAACAGCTCACCAGCACCTCCTTAACCCCACCATCACTAAAGCCAAGACAACTGTCTTCATTCTTCTCCAGAGGACTGACTTCTTTTCACCTTCAGAGTTACTGTTGCACTTAAAATTTATTGCAACTGTTCCTGTCCCCTCCAGACCCTTCCCACACTGCACTGTGTATCCAGTTTAGGGGACCAAGGAGAAAGATCTGGAAATGGAGACAGCAAGCCCTGGAGAACACACCAAGTTGGAAGGTTCCTCTTTAGGAACTGCTCCTTTTTATATAAGTGTGTAAGTCCCTTTAGCACATCCTACTCTAAACTTGAAGGAGAGGACTTTTCAAGTGGTGTCATTTTAAATTAAGATTGCAGGAAAGTGGCAGGGATTTTTTTTCTTTTTTCTCCATGAGCTATAAATAGTATTAGACATGGATGCATGAATTCAGGCACCCAACCTGAACAGCCATTAACAACACATCAAATTCCTCCTGAAATGTTCCAGGCTAGTAAAAAGAAGTTTGCCCTGTGAGTATAGGCAAGAAAGCTGGTCCACTGTGTAAAGATTTGCAGTTACTTCCTCATCTAAAAGCAACACAGAGAGCAGTGGAAGGTGTTAGTAGATGATTAAAGCCACAGAAGTGCCCAATTAACTTCAAAGACTGTATCGAACTATTAATAGACAAGGTATTTTAAATTACAATGGACCAGAGGAAATCAATGTAGGTGGAATGGTAAAGGGGCATCAGAGGAAGATGAATTGGATGGGTGCAGATGAACTTGAGTGCAAGGCAGATAATGAATGCATCAAAGTTTCCAAAGTGATGCCACACGCGTATTAACAAAGCTCAGGTCATTACATACCCCTGCCGCACTGATGACCTTGAAAGGCCCTCGTGAGAACTGCTTCTGGCTCTTGGAGCCCGAGGCACAGAGGAATGGCAGCCCTGGAAGCAACTGTTTGAGCCCCTTCTCTGCTCTCATGGATCGCCCACATGCTAAGCAGAGCAGTGTTTTTCTCTTTCCAGTCGGTGCGAGATAATAGTATCCCTAAAAAAAGGAATAAAGATGGTTTTATGTAGGTACATCCAAAGGATGAGAGCATTTTTGAAGAATATTTACAATACAAATAGAGCACTTTATTAATCCCCAAATGCTAAATTTGAGACCTCAACATGAATGCATCATTTTGCTCTCTACTAATTATATTTTTTAAAAACATACTTCCAAATTCTGTTGACTGAAAAAGGCGAGAGGCAATGACAGTGCAACAGTAATTAGTATAACTTATGTCAAGGATTGGGGTTTCCTGCAGGAATGGTCAGTTCCAGATTGGGGGCAAGAAATGTATAAGAAGAGCAAGTGATGTCTTGTGGTGCCTGGAAAGAAAAGAAGCCATCCAAGAGTAAGGAATCATTTTAAAAAGACACAAGAACCAACAACATGAAGGAGCCTCCACTGGCCCAAAGTGGACAATTTGGGGACAGCAAAAAGAATGATAACCAAAACACTTTGGATATAGTTGAAAATATAAAATCCCATGAGCTTATAATGATACTAGAAATACTTGTAAGTAAACTGGCACCAATTTATAACTCGGAAAAACTGGTCATTAGAAAGTGTGGCCAATTATTTGCAGAGATGGCCACAAGAAAACCGCTCCATCCTGGTTTGCATGGCCTTCTGAAATGTGACTGTGCTGTTCCTCCAATCAATCTTTGTCCTTTCTTTGAATCTGAGCAAGGCCATGTGACTTGTTTTGGCCATAGCAGCATTAGTAAATGTGAGGCAAGCAGATGCATAAGACTTCTTGCACACTGGAGGTTGTTCTTTTGGCTGCGATGGGAACCCTGAGAACACAATGTGAACAAACTTGAGCTAGCTTACTTAAGAAGCCTTGAGAAGAACCTAGGCCCCCAGCTAACAGCCACAATCTCCAGACATGTAAGGGAGACCATCTTTAACCATCCAGTCCCCACAGAACCACCAAACTACTGACATACCACCAAATGACCACAAATTAGGGTCACGTTACTGACCCTGGGCAAGATCAGCAGAGTGGCCCCACTGAGTCCAGCTCAAATTTTTGGCCCACAGAATAAAAAAAGTGGTTCTTGGTTGAAGCCACTAAATTTTCAGGTGGTTTATTGTACCACAATAGATAAATGAATGGATAGAAAGAATTAACATTCATCTTACCATCCCTTAAAAACCATATTTTTGGGTAGTCAAATACCTAGCTGAAGAGGATGAACCTCACTGAAGTTCTTCCTTACATTAAGAGTTTAGCTAATAGGGGCGCCTGGGTGGCTCAGTGGGTTAAGCCGCTGCCTTCTGCTCAGGTCATGATCTCAGGGTCCTGGGATCGAGTCCCGCATCGGGCTCTCTGCTCAGCAGGGAGCCTGCTTCCCTCTCTCTCTCTCTCTCTCTGCCTGCCTCTCCGTCTACTTGTGATCTCTCTCTGTCAAATAAATAAATAAAATCTTAAAAAAAAAAAAGTGTTAAAAAAAAAAGAGTTTAGCTAATAAATGTTGGGGGGAAATGATAGACTTAGACAAAATTGACTCTACTGAAACTCCTAATGAAATAATTGATTCAGGCAAAGATCACCAAAGAGTGACACTAGATGAGAGGTCATTGGGAGATTTGTTAAATGTGAGGTTAGGTTCTACTCATGCCCACTGATACCCATAATCACTAAGAATGGAAAATCCAGACATTGTATTCTTGCATAAGTGATCAATATGAAATAACCATGAACCCACGAAGATTCTGGTGAAAAAATGTTGATCATAAATCTAATTACTACTCTAGTATTAAATTCCTTTTACAGAAATTATGGGGGCTAGACAAATAAATTTTAAAATGCCATAAGAGGGCGCCTGGGTGGCTCAGTGGGTTAAAGCCTCTGCCTTCGGTTCAGGTCATGGTCCCAGGGTCCTGAGATTGAGTCCCACATTGGGCTCTCTGCTCAGCAGGGAGCCTGCTTCCTCCTCTCTCTCTGCCTGCCTCTCTGCCTACTTGTGATCTCTGTCTGTGAATAAATAAACAAAATCTTTAAAAAAAAAAATGCCATAAGAAGTAAACAGACAAATCCAAACAGTATGCATTCTATAAGACAATTCTAGAATCAACAGCTAAGTATCATGAGGACCTTGCTTGAATCCTGATTCACATCAACCATCCATAAGAAGACTTTCTTAAAGAACCTCAGAAATTTGATTAAGAACAGGATTCTTGGGGAGCCTGAGTGGCTCAGTGGGTTAAAGCCTCTGCCTTCGGCTCAGGTCATGATCCCAGGGTCCTGGGATCGAGTCCCACATCGGGCTCTCTGCTCAGGGGGGAGCCTGCTTCCTCCTCTCTCTCTGCCTGCTTCTTTGCCTATTTGTGATCTCTGTCAAATAAATAAATAAAACCTTTAAAAAAATAAAAATAAAAAGAACAGGATACTTGATTGATGGACAAAGGATTATTGTTAATTTCATTAGGTGTCATAATGGTATAATGATTATGTAAGAAAATGTTCAAACTTTTTAGAAGTATACTCTTAAGTTTAAGGTGGAATGGTATCATGTCTGGGGTTTGTAAAGATTGCAAAACCTTTATAATAGTTGAATTTGGATGAAAAGTATATTGGAATTCATTATACTATTCTATTTTTCATTATACTATTTCTATTTTTAGTATATCTTGGTATACTATATTCTAGTTTACTATTCTATACTATACTATCCTGGTCTATGCATGAAAATTTCCATAATAAAATTTTAGAATACTTTTAGATAGACTCTCTAATTTGCTTTTGTCCTCACAAAGCTAAAACTTAAATACAGCCAGAGTTATTATCATTCACAATCAATTTACAGATGAGAAAACAAAAACTCCAAGAGGGAAGTTTTCATTTAAGGATACTCCAGTAATACATGGCAGAACTGAAATATAAAACTGACATTTGACTCCAAGTTCTTGGCTTTTTTACCTTTCTCATATTGCTTCAAGTACTCCCTATAAGTATGTAGAGCTACCTCAATTCAAAGCCAACATTTATATGACACTTTTGAAGATGTAATTCTTAAATTTCACTATGGATTTCTCTATATGCACATACGATTTCCATTTTCTACACATTACTGAAAGGCAGAAAATTAAAATATCCCTGTTTAGATGGAACTGAATGAATATTACGGGCAGAATCATTTCTATAGAAAAGCATGTACTTCATGATGAATTGCATGCCAATGATTTTCCTTATTATACTAAAGAAGCCTATTGAAAAGTATCCAGAAAATGTATTTTTCATTCATTAAAACATCAGTCCCCATGACCGTGGTGCTATAGGCTTGATGATCTCTGAATTGCTTTATTTTGGCAACCATGCATGCACACAATGTAAACTAGAGTTTTGATTAATTCATTCACATTTAATATTGTTTTGAAACTGCTGATGGAAATAAAAAGGCAATACATTTGGGGAGCTCCCAGGTTAACTATGCCTGTAGAATGCAAACAGAGTTTAAAAGTTCAGTAAGTCAACCCCTGGTATTCTATCTAGAATACCAGGCGATTGATTTGACTAATTATTTTCTCTATAAAATTTTCCTTGATTTATTGAAATGAATAACTTGATCTGTTCATTTGGCTTTATAGATATATAGTCTATTACATGGGGTTAGTCTGATCAATAATGACCATTGCCATTGTATAGTAGCTAAGGTGGTTGTGAATAAATTATTGTGTCCTCATCATATTTATTATTTGAATGAGATAACATGTATGAAAATCACTAAGACTGATCAGTATGTAACATACAGTAGCTATCTAACATATAATATTTACTTCATATTAGTTTCCTTTTTCTAAGCTATCCCTTAGGATGTGGTCTAGAAAAGGAGTTTTTACCCTACATCCAAAATGAATTTCAGGGGGAGTCTATAAACTCCCTAAAACTTACACTAAAGTGTTTGTGAATACACGTGCATTTTGGGGGGAAAAGAAGAAGTCTGTATCTCTAAAAAAGTTAAGGATGAATCACTGGCCTAGAGCCTTTGTACAACGAGTAATTTCCTTCCTCTCCAGGTCCAGGAGAGGTTTTTAATCTATGTATCCTAGAATTGATATATTACTGTACTCTTCAGATTAATCATATTAACTTCTATCAGATAGGCTATCATTTAACTATTGAGAAAGTAAAATTATAATCTTTTAGAACAAGTAATTGTTAGAAACTGGGAAGTTGTATTTTGGTTAGCATAAGAAGAACATCTTGATTATATGGTTAAAGAAAGGCACTAGTTTTAAAATCATTGAGACCTAAACTCTAGGTCTCCTTTCTTTCCATTTTTATTATAAAATATTTCAATCATACAAAAAATAGTACAGTATAGTGATCCCCCATGAACCCACACTCAGCTTCTACAATTACTATCTGGAAGTTAATAAAAGTTAACAAAAATTATCTAAATTTTATCTAGATTTACTAAAATGCAACCAAGTTTTAAAGGCCTATAGGAAAAATACCCCAAAATTCACAAGATGCAACTGCCCTCCTTAATGCCCAACACCCAATCACCCCTTCACCTCACCCACCTCCCCTTCAGCAACCCTCAGTTTGTTTCCTTGAGTTCAGCATCTTATGGTTTGCCTCCCTATTTTCATCTTATTTTTCCCCTTCCCTTCCCCTATGTTCATCTGTTTTGTTTCTTAAATTCCTCATATAAGTGAAATCATATGATATTTGTCTTTCTCTGACTGACTTATTTCACTTAGCATAATACCTTCTATTTCCATCCATGTCAGTGCAAATGGCAAGATTTTATTATTTTTGATGGCTGAGTAATATTCTATTGTGTGGAATGTGTGTGGAATGTATACACACACACATATATATATATATCTCACATGTTTTTTTCCATTCATTTGTCAATGGACATCTGGACTCTTTCCATATTTTGACTACTGTGGGCATCACTGCTATAAATTGGGGTGCATGTGCCTCTTCAAATCACCATGTTTGTATCCTTTGGATAAATACCTAGTAGTGCAATTACTGGGTCATAGGGTAGTTCTATTTCTAACTTTTTTGAGGAATCTCTATACTGTTTTCCAAAGTGACTGCACCAGTTTGCATTCCCATCAACAGTGTAAGAGGGTTCCCCTTTTTCCCCATTCTCATCAACATCTGTTTTTTCCTGATTTGTTAATTGAGTAGTTTCCAGCTGATGAAATAAGAGTGTTGTGATTGGTGCTAAAGACCAGAAATTATTGATGAAGCCACTGAAAGTGGCAGCTGTGTTCAAGTCTTAAAAAAATGACCTTAGAAGTCCATTTCAGTCTCTGATTAAAGAACTCATTTTGCAAACAGAGCCAGTTTATACTGCATTGAGGTCATGCTGATGTATCTCCTAAGTTGCATTCTTATAGTAAGAAAAATGACAGCAAATGGTCTTCAAGAATTATCTTGAAGAAAGTAAGTTGCATGTATGATTTTAGGATGAGTTCAGAGTAAACCTAGTATGCCAACTATCTGACGCATGGCACTGTAACCAACATAGTGATGTTCTGTCTATTCTGGTTAAGAAAAAGTACACAAAATAGTTTTTTAAATATTTCTAACAAAATTGTTAAGTAGAAGAATCCGGTGCTTAAACTATTAACCTTTTCTTAAGCAGAACACCAAAATGTCCACTGAGACCTCTGTTCCAGTATTGCCCACACCTTTCATGTCACCGCCCTCTAAAACTCAGCCTGCATTCTACTACAAATCATAAACCTTAGTCTTTGACAGCACATTTGCTAACTGGTAGGAGTTCATAGACAAAGGCAAAAGGGGTTGGGGGAGAGGATAGCATAGTCAAGACCAAAGACACGCAACATGGTATGGTGAATTTAGGCAAATGCAAGTGATTTAGTAGAGCCAGGGAATCTGGGGTGAAGGAGAAGAGCAGCTATTTAGAGAAGACTGAGATGCAAAGAGGATAGAGAATCTTGTAGCACATCACGAGATTTCTACAGGCCAATAGTAATCAACAACAGCAAGGTACTTTGACATACAGACCCACAAATACCTCAGGTATTTGTAAAGTATGAAACAATTCCTTATGAATAAAGACTACAGGTCCACATTTGAAAAATTATTTCCTCTAAAAATCAGAATATAGGTATTCAAATTTAGACCTATGTGTGGTATAATGTAATACAGTTAAAGTCACTTACAATCATGTGCACCTTAATATGCTTTTTGGAGTCAAGTGACATCTAGTATGGCAGGCACACCTGTGGGAACGTAGCATACATCCTTATCCTCATTCATGAGTGTTCTCATGAACTGATGATGGACCAAAGGTGGTGCTGATGATAGGGAGCCATTGAAACAATATAAGAAGAGGGTAATACCAACATTCCTTCATTGTTTCCTAGCCAAAATCACACAGTGTAAGTGATTTCATTCAGAAATCAGTGTTTAATTTGTGTGAATATAAGGTTTTCTAGGAAAAAAAAGAAGTTCTACCTTTATTAAATTACTCCATTTTCTCCTATTTTTCTTTTATCCTTAGTAGAAAAGGACCACTTACTGGTTGGTCAACGTCTTCCTCTTTAATCACAGAGGATGTACAAATACCAGCATAATTTGCTGCTGTGATCTCCTTGTCCAGTGCAGTGCTATGAAAGGCCACAAAAGCTTTGCTATCTTCCACACAATTCCACTTTTGATTGGACGTCCCATTGTTATGTGGTTTGTATTTCTGAAAAAAAGGATAAAATATGGAGTCAAACAAACAGGAGAGTTTATGATTTGATTATAGCTGTTACATTTTCATTGCATAAATTCAGAAAGTATAGATAATGACTCATAATTCTATGCAGTAATAATCATTATTTATATTTGATGATTATATGTGCCATATTTTTTATATTTCTAAATATGCATCCTTTGATTTGCAAAAATGAAATCACAAAATGCAAATAATTTGGTAAATGCATTAGTTTTTTTTAAATAAGAATATCCCATGAAACTTTTTCTAACTTTTTTAAAGGATATATCCTATTTGATCTTAGTGATGTTTTTATTTTACCAATCACCAATAAACATGTAGATTGTTCCTCAAATTGTCCTTATTATAAGCAAAAAAAATGAATAATCATATAAATAAATTTTCATGTAAATCCATGAAAAATTCTTTAGAACAAACTCCTCAAGTACAATTGCTGATAAAATAACATGATCATTTTTAAATATTATGAGATATCATATTAAGCTTTCTCATATCAAAATGATTTCTAGAGAGGTTATTCTAGTTTATACTTACACCAATAGTATATGATACAGCCCGTTTTCCTCACATTCTTGCCCAAACAAATTTAATAAATGAAAAATAGTGTCTTGTTGCTATTTTAATTTATGTTTCCCTGATTATTGAGATGATTTTTTAAAACTATGAATACAAACAGTTTTATATGTAACAGAAACAGCACATTTATTCTATTATAAAACTTGGCTCAAGCATAAGTAAAGAAAAGAGTAGTTTCAATTTTAGAGAATTTAAACTAGTAGATTAGTTCCAACTAAACATATCATGACACCTAAAGGAACTTTATAATGAATAGCTTTCACTTTACCAAGGAGAGATTGATAGTAAAGAGGAAAATAAATGGGTCTTAAGAATTGATTTAATAGGTCAGACAATAGAGGATCCCTCAGAGGCATGGAAAACAAAGACTATGTTTCAAGGAACAGAGAGTGGGGGGTCTTGTAACATTAAACTAACATGACTCATTTTTATTATTTTACATGAACTTTAATATTTTCTCACAAACCAAATGCTTCAAGAAATAAAGTGGAACATCAGCAAAGAAAAAATCTTGAAAGGTAATACAAATTACCTTGAGATCAAACTCACTTCTTAAAAATGGGAACCTTAGGGGAAAATGTCAATATCTGTAATTTTTTGAAGCTGATTAAGGTACAGAATTTGCATCTGCATGAGGTTTTAATCTCACCGTGGCCCATGCCAAAGAGGCACCTGACAGGGAAGAATGTGATGTTATATATATGATGTCTCCTAGAATAAATTTTTTGTCCATATTTATCAGCAGGGTAGAAGATTTAATTAAGCTTTGATATTTGTCCAGATTGCTATATCCCAATTTTGGATTCAGGACCTGTGAAACAAGCTGCCTCATTGCTATTAAAAACATGGAATAAAACAAATGTACTTTGGGGATAATATATTCTGTTCAACAAAAGATGGTAAATACTATGGAGGATACAGAAAATAAATTCAGAGCAGGGGTGCTCCTAAGCTTTCTTTCCTCCTAGCAAGGAAAAACATAAATCTATTTAGGAGTGTCTTTGGTTACAAGTAAGGATGACAGATAAACAAGAAAGAAGAACTCCACAGATCTTTATCCAAAACTCAAATGAACCCAGTTTTCTCTGGAGTCTCCAAAAGCTGTTTGGCTGCTACAAGCATTTGCTAAAGTATGTTATTTGAAATACAAATGTGTATCTTAGCAGAATGAACATTGATGAGTTCACACCCTTTGGGAAGACCTCTCTGATCATGCTCTTTCCCTCCAGTTGCCAGGTAAGAGGGGGCTTGCGTAGGTCCCAATCAGTGAGTTTAAAACACGTGCCTCTAACAGCTATTCACTTGACCGTAGCCGCCACTGAGACCATATGAATGCTACTGGGATAATTTTTCATGCTTGCCCTTGGATTTGATTTAAGTAACTAGCATGAGTCCTGACATGCAGCAAGCCCACAATCACCATCTGTTGGATTAAACTAAATTAAGAGCTACATGAACATGCTGAATTTGAAATCTAGGCAGGCTATTGTAAATATTTTAACAATGGCATTCAAAATAGGTTTCTATGACAGCCATTATCTTTCTCCACAACAAGGAAGTACAGAGCTTTACTTAACTTTAAATAAAGGGCGATGATTACTACTTAGCCTATATATATATCTTACCTGAATAATAACTGGATAGCCACAGACATCGTTTCTTGTTTTGGTCATAGACACTGCCAGCACAAGGTCTGGGTTACTCACCAGGTGAAAGGTCCTTTGGGAAAACAGGATTAGGCTTGTTATCAAGTAGCGTAACCCGATCAGAGCTCCCTCTGTGCCACCTACCAGAGTGCTGCCTCTTAGCTCCATGCGTGCTTTGTGATAATGGATATGAATCCTTTAAGCATTTCTCCCTCACAGAAGCACAATATGAAGCTTTCTCAGTAGAGATTGCTAGAAGAACACTGCAGGAGGAAGGGGCTCCCTTGCTCTTCCTGGCTGCTGCATGGGGTTACCAGTTGGGAGTGAGGACATCCTGGGATGCTCCGCCCTAACCAGGTGCAGGGGATGTGTGGCCCCTGGGAAGCCTCACAGCCCTGGCCTGATAATCGTTTGCTCGTGGCCCTCCTGACATGGACATGACATGCTCTAAACCTTCTGCCTCTCCAGCACCCCGCTCCTTTGCCACACCTGTGTGCCCCTAAACCAGGTGCACCCCTGCATATGTTCCAGAGGGCTACTTCCTGCTAGCAGAGCAACCACAGACCAGGTCTGGTCGGGCAGACCAACAGATTTTTGCCATCCAGTTAGCTGTATCTGTACCTTTTCTAATGAGTTCTGAACTCTGGCCTTGGGAAAGGCCTGATTTCAAGTTTGTCCTCCCTCCCTCAGCCCCAGAGGACCATACACTGGATTTTTTTTTTTAATCTAATAGTTACACTTTCATCATTGTTTAATTCTTTATGTTTCACATCTTCTTGAAATCACAGTGTGGTTTTTGTCTCCAAATTGAACCCAGACTGATATACCCTCCTTACCTCCTGCTATTTAATCGTGTGGCAGAACGATTAAGAACATGGATTCTCGAGCCAGAGGGCTCAAGCTTGAATCCCGAATCTACTTCTTAGTACCTATATAGCTTTGGTTAACAATCCCACACCTTTGTTTCCTCATCTGTAAAATAGGATAATGATGCCTGCCTCAAAAGAGTCTTGTGGGAATGAAATGAATTAATGAACAGAAAATACATAGAATATTGTCTGGCACACGTCACTTAGAATGAGCCACTATTTGATTCACAATGGTTGTGATTTTTTTATAGCTTTTCCTCCAATTCTCTTTTTCTAAAGGACTATTCCCTAAAAGTCCAAGATATATGTTGAATATTGTTAAGTTGTCTTGTATAGGAGCTCACATAAAGCCACTTTGACCGAAAGAAGGAAAGAAAATTATTGAGCTAAAATCCTCAAATTCTTCTCCTTGCATCACTTAAAAGCAAAATAAGCCAAACATTCAAGGAAACTGTCTGTATAGAAAAAGTCAATTCTTTATGTCTGTCAACATAGTTACATTACACACACACCAGCAGTGGCATTCCTGCTGTGGAAAATTAACTTGTCCTATAAAATTTAATGATGTGGGAGTGAAGGGGAGAGGAGAAGGTGAGAAAGGGTCTGTTATAAAAGTAATATATTTCTCCTTTCAAGACTTAAAAAAATTCCAGATATCTAATTTAAACTTCTGTACTATAAATAAATATAAAACAACATAACCTCACTGTAAAGAATTTACAAAGAACTGGAAAATAGAGTAAAAATTGTAACAGACTTTTAGGCATTACTCATATTACTACAAGATAATCCCTGTTAATCTTGCAATGTATTTCTTCCTTCTATTGTTAATTAATGATGTATCATTTTAAATTAAAAAATGGGTATTGGATCTCATTAAATACCTTTTTAGCATTTATCAAAACTGGGCACTGCACGAGAGCTGCTATTCTCTACTCTTCACCTGTTTAACCTTGCCATTCGCATAGCTTGGGTCCTGCATTTTCATTGACACTCAATATTATTCATATGAATGAATGATCGTGCATCTCCTGCAATGACCTATTGAGATGCCAACATCTGTTACCTGGCTATCTATGTTTCTGCTGCTTAAAACAGCCGTAGCAACTTCTCCCATGCTTCAGTGCCATGCTGAGCCGTGATAATGTTGGTTTCCCTTTTCGTTTTTGAACAGTACCATCAACTGACACTGGCCTTAACAGGAATGCTTAAGTTTTGCAGGAAGCTTGAGTTTATGGATCTGTACATAAAACACACTATGTGCCAAAAGGCAGTGTGAGGCCTTCTTCTGTGTCCCAGGGATATCTCGCACAATACCACAGCCCCTTCCACAAACCTAGGGAATGAATGCTTGCAAGTCAGTGTCCCGGGCCCCAGTGTACCTAGCTTTGAAATCAAATGATCAAGTGATTAAGGAAATTTTAAAGATCTCTTGTAGCTACAGTAAGCTAAAGCAGTGATTACTAAATTCCAGAAATGTAGAGCCTGTTAGCACTACCTCTGCGGGGATTTTCATGTGTTTGATCTTAGCTGAAGCACCAGCTCCCAGAACGCCGCCCTTAATCACCGTTTGCAGCAGAATGAATGAATTCTGGTCCCATATAGCAAATCATTCACAGGGACAAAAACTTGCCTCTTAGCTCCCTGTCATAATGTTAGCTTAGCTAGGATGAACAAGGCAAAGGAACACACTCACAGGTCTAGCTACAGGTTGGCTTTTCAACCTTCTTGAAAACAAGTCCAGTAAGTGTTCCTTGCTGGTACTTGGCTCATCTCAGACAGTGAACAGTGAGACTTGCTCCCTTCCTGCCCATGCTGGGCTGCTGCTCTTGCCCGCTAAAGCTTGCACAGTCTCTGTCAAAGCAGCAGTTCCTAAACCTTTCACATCACACACCTTTTGAGAAGCCAGTGAAAATCATACCTCTTCCCCGGGGTGGGGGGAAAAAATGTATCACACAAATGTCAAGAGATTGAAGAGGCCCCAGAGGCTCACCATAAAAGACTAACGACTGAATTTGAAACAAACCAATCTAAAAACCAAGGAGTTGTTTTCCTTCTGGTTAAAGATATGTTCGTATATGAACAAAAACAGAGAAGAAGCCAGAAGAAGCCACCACGACGCAACAGGTGTCAACACGCTGCCATTCTCGTCTCATCCATTCCCTCCAACTTTTTACATTTTTGCTTTTGCTAGAGTATTTTAATGCAAGTCTGACCTACTTCTTCATTTTATCTGTAAATACTATGATATATATCCCAGTGGTCAGAATTTTTCTTTATTTAAACATAGCCATTGAACTATTAGGACACCCAACAAAATTAATAAGACTTCTTTTGTGTCATCTGGCACCCAGGCTTTTCCTCTAATTGTCTTAGAAATAACTTTTGAGAGTGGTCAGCTTGAATCTGGATCCAAACAAGGGCCAGCCATGAGGTTAGACTGGATTGATATATTTGTTAAGGTAAGAATTCGTTTTCACTGTGTAAGCAGAAGCCGTATCCATTGGTTATTTGATGGAAATAAGGAACGGCGGAAAAGCGTGCTTGTGGGGAGGGGCAGGAGATTGAGTTACTGAAAAATACTGCACCATTTTTTAAAATGGGGACTCCTTAAGTTCTTACTTGATCCTTTCAGATCATAAAAAAAGAATTAGATGGCAGCCCAGTTTTCTCTTAATTTCCATAGCCAGTTAAAACTATGAACCCAGTAGGTCAGATTTCACATTCCTTAACTGAACTGACAGTGGATAACTTGTGTATAGACTACTGAGCATTTATTTACATTTGATTTCACTCTCTTTTTCTCTCTGAGTAGGATTAAAAAAAAGCATTGGCTACCTTCAATAGAAAATCCAAAGTCCCCACATATAGTCCCGCCTGCTCTGCGGGTACCATACCAGATCTCTTAGGCTGCCATTCATATATTTGGTATATTGACACCCAGTATAATGGGTTTACCTGCTGCCTTTCTTGTGCATCCATCGTTGATGATTATCATCTGCTTTTTTCTCCACCAAAACTACCTCCGTGCCTGAGCGCAGATCAGGACCTCGAACTCCCAAAACTAGCTGAGGAGCAGCACAGCTTATAATTTGCCCATCTCTGTATTCAAACTGCTGGCGGCAAAGCTTCTGCAATTTACTCTGCTTTGGAGAATGGCTGAGAAAAAGAAAATCCCATTAGAGGCCGAAAAATGTCCTGTGCACTCAGTGTGCTGGAGACAGCAAGCTCTGTTGCTGAGAGACCCGATGCGAACCGAATGCACGGATCCTGGTGAGGCATTACCTTTGGGACAGCAGCACCGCTATCACCTGGCAGGGCCAAGCAGATGGTAAGAGCAGAATTCTGAGTTTATTCTGTAACAGGAATAAATGTCCATCCAAGAGAATATGAGAAACTCATCAGCATAGCAAAAAGAAACGGAGTTGAAGAGGTAATTTAGTTAAAGGGAAAAGGAATGGGAAAAGGAGAGGGCCAGGTAGAAATGGAAAAGGGAAAAACAAAGGTGTTCAAATCAGGGTTGTTTCTAGCCTCAGTCTAGTCTCCCTGCAAATAGAATGCCATTCTCCAAATTTTTCAATCTTCCCATAGAATATCATAAAAGAGAATGATATGCTAATAAGTTAATTCAAAGGAATCTCCTGCTTAAGGAGCTTAAGGCAATAAGCAGACTTATGAAATATATTAAACATCACAATGCATTGTCAATTAAGTTAATCTATAAATATCTACGAAGCCCCTAGTATGTGCATGGGGCAATGCTAACTGTTGAAATGCCAAAGCCGTTTGATTTATACAAAATGCTATAATGGTAAGCAAATGTCTAAAGGTTACGAAATAATACAAAGTACTATAAATTCCCGTTATTTCATTGGACATTGACCAGAAAAAAATAAAGTTAAAAAGGAAGAAACTACATTTTACTTATTTCTTAAAGACATTAGGGCATCTTACATGTTTATTCTTAAGATCATTCACACATTTGTTCAACAAATACATAGGCTTTATGTTGTTAGGATGCAAAGGTGGATAAGCTTACTGCTTAATATAAAAGACACACCAGTGAACATGAAATTATATTATATGGCGCAAAATAAGCTAAGGGGAGAAGGGCCTTCCCACAGATACTTGCAAACACTTAGTAAAAAACCCAAGACACAAATGTGTATGTTAATATAAATGGCGGCTAGCAGTAATGCAAACCCTGAGGAATCATTTCGCCCTAGAATGAGCAAATCTAAGACCATGCAGAAATCTCTAATGAGAACTCCTTGCAACTTTTTACCTGTGTTTCTTCTGTGGTTCCACATTTTCAAAGAGTTCTTCTTCCATTTTCTTTGGAAGACTGTCATCCTCATCAAAATCATGAGGAGTTTCCTGCCAGGCATACCTGAGAAGTGTGTGACAAGCTTTCATTCGGAGATGGGCTCTTGCATGTGAATCTCTACAGAAGTAAACACAAGTGTAAGAATTCTGATTTTTACTCACAGAATTTTCTCTGAGGTATAGTCTGATCATATCCTAAAGGATGTTGATGAATCTGTAAATCACATTTCTATTATGGTGCCTAACATTGCAAATCTACCTCCCACTAATACATAATTTCGATCTTTTAATATAAGGCTACAAATAAAATTCCCCAATTACATAATAAATAGCACTCATCTTTATCTATTCAGGGAAAAATTGGGCCATGTATTATATTTCAAAAACTGTAAGATTGGGGCATCTTAGTGGCTCAGTCGGTTGAGCATCAGACTCTTGATTTCACATCAGGTCGTGACCTCAGGGTTGTGAGATTGAGCCCCGCATTGTGCTCCACCCACACTCCACATGGAGCCTGCTTAATATTCTCTCTCCTTCTCCCTTTGCCCCTTCCTTCCTCTAAAAAAAAAACCTGCAAGATTAAGACTGCTCAGTAGTTTAAGAAATTCATAATGAATGTGTAATGAGATTCCTTCTGCCTACTCCAGAAGTGGGTCACAATTCTGTCTGGAACAGGACAGCCTAGATTACTGCATTTCCTAAAGTTTACTCATTAGACAATGTTAAGAAATCTTAATTAACTTAACTTTTCCTCTCAAATCTAGGGAAGCTCAAATAGCATCGGCACAGACGTGCAAACTTTTGATAGAGAATAAGTTACTAAAACACTTAAATAGTCATAGTTTGAGTAACTGAGTCATCAGCCTTCTGGTTTCTTATGATGATGACGACGTGAACAGGAGCTTAGCCACCATACAGATCTATCACTATCATATTCTGGAGCACTGTTGAAGTACATTTGCTTCCAAGAGATCACAACACAATATGAAGATTGCTCCACTCAAGGCGGGATAAATATACAGGCAAAGCAGTGAGCATATTCTAGCAGTCTAACTATGCATATGTGTGAATAAAGCTGGAGGGGAGTGGGTAGGTGGCGATTGTCAAGGTGTTCCTAGTATTGATATAACTGGAAGCAATATAAATTACCAAAATCTTCGGGGTCAATTCCTGTGTTGGCACAGCAGACCATACACTTTTCAAATGTAACACAAATATTATACGTGGATATGAAATTGAAGGGTAACAGCTGCCTCGTTCAAATTGTGCACAAGCAGCTGGCTCAAGTAAAAAATCTTCCCAGGAGTTAAAAAACAACAGTGCCATCTAGTGTTAAAAATAAAAAACACAGCTTTCCCACCAACTTTATTTCTTCGAGGAAAACAGAGAAGGAAAAAGTCATTCTTAGTTACAACACATTCAGCAAGGTGTAAACAAGATCCTTCCTCCAAGTCCAGATGTTTAATTTTCTAACTTGGAATTTATCTGTATTCTCTTTGGCTTCCAGGCAAATGAAGTACAGTCTAGCCACTTTAGAAAAGCTCTTTTTAAATATACCTTGCTTTATAAATTCATTAATTTTCCATTCCCTCATGTACCTAATCATTCCATAGTTAGTCACTCATTCTTTTAAATGATGTTTCTTGAACATCTGCTATATGATAGGCACAGAGTTCTAAGTGATGAACAAAACAGGTAAGTTCTCAGGGTTTCTGGAGCTTACATTCTAGTGGTCAGAAGAGATATAACAGACAAGTCTGTTATATAAGCATGAATAAATATGAATAAATAATATAAGCGCCATAAGTGGAATAAAACAAGATATTGTGATAGAAACTAGCCAGCGTGGGGTAGGGTTTACTTAAACAATGGAGTCTGAGAAGGCTCCTCTGAGAGAAAATGTTTGAGTTGAGAGGTGGAAAATGGGAGGGAGCCATCCATGTGAAGTTCTAGAGAGAGAACCTTCTGGAAAAAGAGAATAAATAGAGAGGTTCTGAAGCAAGAATATGCTTGGTTCATTTGAGGAACAGAAAGACACTATTGTGCCAGGTATAAAATGAGTGAGAAAGGTAGTAAGTGAAAAGGCTTAAGAAGGGGGAAGGGCCTGCCTGTAATTCAGTAAGGAAATAGGAAAGTTCTCCCTGAGCTCCATGCTAAAAAAGTCTTTTCTTTCACAAGGCAGCAAAGCTGAGGTAAGTGCTTCCAGAGTTACTTTTCTATTTTGCTTATTTTTATTAACAGAAATCTTGACACAGAATCCAACTATTAAAAAGGTTCCTTCTAGATCTATGTTTACCCTCTTGCTTTACGGATATCCCTCCTTAAATCATCCCACTTTTCAAATAAGTAAAACTTCCAAACAAACAAATTTGGGAAATTCTGGGGAAATCTTCAAGTGACTCTGTAACATAAGATGATTTAGGATTGAGTCATCAAAAGTGTCTCAAAGAACTAGTGAAAGCTAGCCCAGAAAAGAGAGAAACCAGTAGCCTGATGATGATGAACTTTGCATATTTTAAGGACTTTTAAGTAGAAGAGGAAGGGTATAAACAGAAACAAATGAAACCATAGGACAGAGATGTTCTAAATAATTTCTACATTAGAATGGACTGCCTTATCAAAAGGAATAAAATCTTGCCCTTTGCAACCACATAGATGGAACTAGAGGGTATTATGCTGAGCGAAATGAGTCAATCAGAGAAAGACAATTATCATGTGATCTCTCTGATATGAGTAATTTGAGAGGCAGGGCGGGGGGTTGTGAGGGGTAGGGAAGGAAAAAATGAAATAAGATGGGATAAGAGGGAGACAAACCATAAGAGACTCTTAATCTCACAAAACAAACTGAGGGTTGCTGGGGGGTGTGGTGTTATGGACATTGGGGAGGGTATGTACTATGGTGAGTGCTGTGAAATGTGTTAAGACTGATGATTTCCAGACCCGTACTCCTGGGGCAAATAATACATTATACGTTTAAAAAAAAAAAAATGGGCTGCTTGCAAAGTAGTGATCTCTCTGTTACGATGAGTATTCAACAAGAGATGGCATCAAAAGAGCCTGCCTGGAATGTGCAGGAGATTCCTGCCCTTTGTTTTGAGCAGACTCAAGAACTCCAGGCCTTGAAGAAATCTAAAAATTAGAACAATGTGGATCTTTGCTCTCAAAGATGTTCTTTCTATTTTTCTCACTTTCTGTTTACTTTTTTCCCGTGGGCAGTCTAATAACTCAGAGGCCAGATGATACATTCTTCAGAAATTCTCTAGCCAATGAGGAATAGACCCATTTAGGCCAAATCATTTCTCTCTGAAAAAGGCCTTCTGGTGCTTTTGTGAGTGTCAAGACATGGGACCAGATGAATCACTCATCAAGATGAAGGGGTTTGTTTCCTAAAATAAAATTGATGTTCCTACAATAGAGGATAGAAGCAGTCTTTTAAAATGGTTTGTAAAATAGTTTCAAATGACATGTAAATTAATTTTCACTGTTATCACAAGGGTAGTTGACTATCTATATATGGTTTTAGAATTTGGAAACTCATTCAATTGTTCCTTCATTTATTCAGTATAGGATGATTAAAGTCATCTACCCTGGTCTTCACAGAACAAGCCAGACAAGGGGTTTTGGCCACAAGGAATTACACGGGTGGGGGGAGAAGTACTGCTAAGAACAGTGCTCCATACAATCATTACCATGATTGATTTCAACGATGAAGAATCATTCCACACATGAGTACAAGGCGGGTCAGGGCACTTCAGGAGGAGAGAAACAAACAAGGGGCTCAGAGGCCTGCAGTGGTGCACAAGCAGACTATGCCATATTCAGTGCCGCTTGTCGTTGCTGAGCTGGAGCTTAGTTTGCGTGTCAGGAAGAAAAAGTGTGGAGTGGAGGTAGGCGTGGGGTGCAAATGAGGGTCCATGACGGGCCTGGACTCAGGTCAGAAGGGCTTGGGACTACAGAGTAAATGTTTTTTCTATCTGCAGTAGGTAGCCACTGAAGAACTGTAGAAAAAAGGTTATGTTTTAGAAAGATAATTGTCTGTAGATGGAACTTCGAGGTGAACTGGGAGGAGGAGAAAAGGAAGAGAGAGACCAATCTGGAAATCACTTCAGTGACCCAGGATGACGACTGTATTTTAACATGCATCTGGCTTGAACCTATATTAATTTAATTGTTCCTGGAGTTGATGTTAATGGAAACAAAACATGATGGATTCCTCAAATAATTTGCAATTCCAAAATTCTAGTCTTTTAAAAATAGTAGTATAATAATAAAATCACTGCAAGTAGATCATTGTGATGGTTGAACATTGAAGCTCCAGCTCGATCTTTTTGCCAGAAAACTAATTAAATCCTAGCTCTTGGGGTGCCTGGGTGGCTCAGTGGGTTAAAGCCTCTGCCCTCAGCTCAGGTCATGGTCTCAGGGTCCTGGGATCGAGCCCCACATTGGGCTCTCTGCTCAGCAGGGAGCCTGCTTCCCCCTCTCTCTCTGCCTGCCTCTCTGCCTACTTGTGATCTCTCTCTCTCTCTCTCTGTGTCAAATAAATAAATAAATAAATAATCTTTTTTTAAAATTAAAAAATAAATAAATAAATAAATCCTAGCTCTTCATCTGACATCCATATCACAAATGTGGCATGAGTTCCCTGCTTGGGCTGTGTGCTGTTGGGCTAATGAGCTAAGTTCAGAGAGGAACCAGGTAGTTTCTCTGGCCATGCTGATTACTTACAGAATTTCACCGGAAGCTTTTTCTGTTGTTAAAGCATTTTCTTGCATTTGCTTTTCCTCTGGTCCTATCATTTGCTTCTCTTCTCCAAAAATTGCTACAGGTTTATGCACAGCAAGCTTGGCTCCAGACACAATGTCACTTTGGACTTCTAAAACAAGAGCTGAGCAGAAATGCACAGATTGCAAAGACATATCAGTTATGATTGCAGAACACTAGGAATTGGAAAACACATGTTAAAAGAAGAATGGAGACAATTTTCAGCTATTTGGTCTAAGAGAACACTGATAGTTGCTCTTTAATAAACTGGATTTCACTTAATTTTTGTAGATTCTTTCCCCCCAAGATATTCGCAGTCAAAATTATTAAAATTGGGGCTAGCATCTAAAATATACAAAGAACTCATAAAATTCAATATCTAAAAACAATCTGATTAAAAAATGGGCAGAGGACCTGAACAGACATTCTTCCAGAGATGACATACAGATGGCCAACCTACACATGAAAGGATGCTCAGTATCACTAAGCATCAGGGAAATGTGAATCAAATCAAATCAAAATCACAGTGAGATATCATCTCACACCTGTCAGAATATCTATTAACAAAACAAACAACAACAAAAAAAAGATGCTGAGGAAAGAGAGCCCTAGCACATATTGATAATATACAACTGATGTACCCACTACAGAAAACAATATGGAGGCTCCTCAAAAAATTAAAACTACAACTACCATATGATCCAGCAATTCCACTTCTAGGTATTCATCCAAAGAAAATGAAAACACTAATTTGAAAAGACATAAGCACCCCTATGTCCATCACAATGTTATTTATACTATCCAAGACATGGAAACAATCTAAGTGTCCATCAACAAATGAATGGATTTAAAGAAGTGGTATATAGATAATGGAATATTATGCAGTCATAAAAAATGAAATCTTGCCATTTGTGTCAATGTGGCGGTACCTCGAGGGTATTTTGAAAAGTAAAATAAGTCAGACAGTAAAAGACACATACTGTATTATTTCACATACATTTCACTTACATCTAAAAAACAAAACAAATAAAACAAAACAAAAGTGAAACAGACTCATAGATACAGAGAACAAGCTGATAATTGTCAGAAGGATAGAGGGATGAATGAAATAGATGAAGGAGAGTAAGAGGTATAATCTCCCAGTTATAAAAATGGTCAGACATGGGGATGCAATATATGGCATAGGGAATATAGTCAATAATATTAAAACAACTCTGTATGGTGACAAATGGTAACTAGATTTATGGCACTGACCATTTCATAATGTATATACATATCAGATCACTATGTTATATACCTGAAACAAATATAGCAACATAGGTAATTACCCTTCAATTTTAAAAATGCCTAAAAGAAAAAAAAAAAGGTACTAAAGGATATGTCTTTCCAAAAATGTTAGTTATTGTAAATTCTAACCATTCAAATGGGTATATTATTTAGATATATGTCTCTAGATCATTCTCTAGGATCCCAGATTCCTCACTGAAGTCCCTAATGCCTTGAAAGACACATGCCAAACTTACTGTACAACATTCAATATATGTAATAGAGAAAAGTTTTAAATTATATTAATGATTTTTCCCTTTTGATTTTCTATGTATAGGACCTTTGTCCTTCCTGGGGCAGGCCAAAGGGAAGGAGGAAGACCACAAGCTGATGAGAAAGGTTACAAAGGAAAGCAAAAGTACGAAGATAGTTACGACACTCAAGCACAGCCTGATAAGCCCATAAGACAAGGGCTGTGTAAATCAGGATGACACTATCATAATTTAGGATTCTTCTAAATTCTGTGAGCTTCCATTTAGCATATCAAAGCTTTAACCTCAAGGTTGACCTGGGGAAAACCCACCATTTCTGAGCCTGAGGGAGACAGAAGCTAGAGGAAGGCGGAAAACCAGTGCTGGATGTCATGATTCCTCCTACAGGCTTCACTTCAGGCATCTAAGCTACACCAAGGAAACACGGAGGACACTGTCCATTATTCAGAACCCTGAGACAAGTCACCTCTCCAGTTGCCCTCACTACTCCAACCTGAGGCACAGCCCTGTCAACCTGGATCTGGTTTCTGAGGCATGCAGCCATGACCCAAGATTTGCTAAGAGTCATGCTAGAGAAGTGGTTGTCAAGGAGGGGTGAAGGGGTCCTATAGTAAGAACAGAGGTGAATACTCAGCCATAGCCAGGCTTCAGGCGGGCCAAAGGGAGCAGAGTAGAGTGTCTGAGTCTGAGTCAGGCAGGAAGCATCACCCGCCCAAAGCACTGTCTGGGCCAAAAGAATAGAACACAGTCACCTAGCCATGGACATCAGTCACCAAGACTCAGAAAGCAAGAGACTCCCTTCCATCTGAGAGAGGAACTAAAGAGAGACTCTGGGGACTGGGGAATCTGAAAGATTTCCCTAAAGGGACTATTTAAATTAATGGATGAGACAAAATTTAAACCTGACTGGAAATTTTGTTTTTCTTAACAGAAAACAAAGAATTCCTGATTTGTTAAAGACAAAATAAATTACATTTTCTTTACACATCCAAAGTGTAGTGTGAATTAAAATACACAATCCTGTTAAATATATAATTTTGTCTAAAGAGCTAAACAGCAGGATATAGGAGTGAAATACAACTTATTTAAACAAATTTAATTTAAAAAAGTAGGATCAAGCATTAATCTTGGCCACATATATTACGGTAAATAATTCCAATGCTTACCTTCTATCTTACGTATACTGCAGAAAGTTTGGATTTTAGAAATATCTGATGCTAAGTTCCTCAGGAAGATTTGCTTCTTTTGCTGAGCAGTGGACACATCAGGATTGATCCAGTGTTCTCCACATGAAGCATATACCTAGCAAAGGAGTGAATCTCTGATCCCATGTAAAACTGTTCATAGCAGTGTTATCAGTAATAACCAAACCCAGCCAAAAGTACAAACAAAATGTCCTATAATAGGCAAATGGTTAAACAAACCATGATGCCATGGACTAATCGTGATAAAAAGGCAAAACTGTTGGTGCATGTAACAACTTTGAAGGATCTCAAAAAAAAAAGAAAAAATAAGTATTTCTCCATACTATCTTTGCAACTTACTGTGAATCTAAAATTTTTCCAAATTAAAGTTTTATGAAATAATTTTTTGAAGGAAGGAAAGAAAGAAAGGACAGGAGGGAGGGAGGGAAGGAGGGAGGAAGGAAAGGGAGGTAGGTATATATTAGGGCTCTGTAAACTATGGCTGAGGCCCAGATCTGGCCTGCTGCCTGTCTGTGTAAATAGAGTTTTATTAGAACACAGTTATGCCCACTCATTTCCACGCTGTCACTGCTTTTGTGCTTCACAATGGCAGGAGCTGATGTTTCATTAGAGATCATATGGTCTGTAAATATTTATTAACTGATCTTTTGCAGAAGAAGTTGGACAAAACCACTGGTATTGATGAACTTGTAATATATTAATGTGGCTATTTCTAGACATTGAGATTATGGATGATAGCTGTTCTTCATGCTGCTTATATTTATTTCTTAAATGAATTCGTATTTCTTCAAAGTAAGAAAAAAATAGAGGGATGTATTGAGAACACTCAGTAGGAAGAAAAACGCCACTCAGTTCTCTTCCGTGGCCCCACGATGGTGCTTATACACACCCCATATGACGACTTGGGAAAAACTTTCTCAAAAATTTCTTCTGTTTGAACAACAGGCTTCCTTTTTTCCTCTGGACACACATGTAACTGTTGATGTTTCTATCTCTGCGTCGGCTGCCCAGAACAGTGACAGGTTTGTTTCGAGCAAATGCATGGAATCTTATAACAGTCACTCCTGGCTCCATGCTTTCACTCATACTCCCTTCGCCCTGGTGGCCCCATCTACTTATCCTTACATTAAATTTATCCTTCTGTATCTTAGGTTTAAATGCAATCTACCTTGAGTTCTTTCTGAAATAACACAGTGAGTTAACACACCAGCAAAAGCGAAGAAAAAAATTAAAAACCAACAAACTAAAACCTTGGCAGTGACAGTGTTAGAATTCAAAAGAGATCTCCCCAGGTTCCAAGAACACAGACTTTCCCCTATGCCATGCTGCTTCTGTTATTAGTCGTCAGTACTATAACAAATAGCATGGAGGACAAGGGGAGTTAGAGAGGAGAAGGGAGTTGAGGGAAATTGGAAGGGGAGGTGAACCATGAGAGACTATGGACTCTGAAAAACAATCTGAGGGTTTTGAAGGGGCGGGGGGTGGGAGGTTGGGGGAACCAGGTGGTGGGTATTGGAGAGGGCACGGATTGCATGGAGCACTGGGTGTGGTGCAAAAACAATGAATACTGTTACGCTGGGGAAAATAAATAAATAAATAAATAAATAAGAAAGAAAGAAAGACTCGCTCAAGGGGTCTTTACATTCAGGGCCTGAACTGAGTTCTGATTCTATGGTGTGAGCTCGGTTCTCTGTTCAAAGAATTTTCAGGCATCGGTCAAGCAAGTTTTCTTTTCGAGCTGGTATCTCAAATTCCATAAATGGGAGAAAAGGCTGACTGCTAAAGTCCTTCTTCTCAGTCATCTCCAGTCACCCAGGTAGGCTGTGCAAAACACTAGATATAATTTTTTTCTGGAAGAGTGAAATTATCATTTAGTAAGAACACTAAACAACTACACTTTGAAAGCCTCAAAAAGAAGAGAGGATCTGCCTTTCAGAGTAGGAGACAGAAATCACAAGTGGTTAATAATCCGGTCTTGTCTAGCTTCCACCCTCATTTCTAAAGTGGGGATCATGGCAGCATCCATCCCACAGGGTCATCCTGATCCTTAAATAAGTTTATTCTTAGAAAGCCCTGAAAATCATGCCTGACAGTAGCTCTCAACCATGAGCTGTTAGCATGCCTTTCTGAGGGCTGCTGAGTAAGGCTAACTCAGAGAAAATAAGGGGAGAAGCAGTGTTTGAAGTCCTGTATGTTAAAACGTTTGTCTTTTAGTTGTATGTGTGGCTCATATTTCCAGTTCCACATTCATATCTTTACCAGTTCATCCCTTTGAAGGTCTTTTAAGGCAAAGATTTCTTTTCCTTTTTCATTGAACAATCTCCGAGCTGCAGAAGGTAAATTTAAAATTTCGGTGCACCTGTAGTAAGAGACACAAAAATTGAGCTTGTAGATAGAAGGCTTCCGGCAGAGAAGAGAGAAAATGTGAGAAATCAAGGGTCTGGACCATCAGTGCCCACTCCTGCTGCAGACCGGTGAGACCATCCAGAGGTGGGCCCTGGAGCCCATCAGACCCCTCTGGAGACTCATCCACCCCATCCAAGCTGTGGGACTTGGGTAAATTAACCTCTCTAAGCCTCAATTTCTTATCTTCCAGGGTTTTAGTGAGGAATAAAGGTTGATTTTTAAAAGTGCTTAGCACAGTGCCAGCATGACCAACAAATAAGTAGGCATATCATGATTGAGTTTTCCTTCTTCAATATGCTGCACACTTTCTAATTGTGTGCCTTTGTTCATGCTCTTCCTTCTACCTAAAACACTTTCTTTGGCTTTTTTTGTTGAAGTTCTATTCTCTCCCCAAAGTCATATCCGTCACCAAGCAGTTTCTCATCTCCCTCCACTAGAAGTGATCTCCACAGCCTTTTAACTCCCTTTCAAACAGTAACTTTTACCCTGGCGAACCAGTTAACAGTTATTTCCACACCCCAGGCCCCAAACAAGCATTTGGCCTGCCCTGTAGGTATCAAAATGAATGATACTGTTTTCTTGTTCCCTGAGGGGCTCCCTCTCTTGTTAGGGGAGAGACAGGTCAACAACTGAAGTATAATATGCAGGAGTGGGTGGTGTCATAGGCACCCAGCCAAGGTGCTGTGAGAACACAGGAAAAACAAAACGACTGATTCTCCAGGGAACACCTATGGAAGGAAGTGACATTTGGGTTGGGCCTTTTCAAATGAATAGGAGTTGATCAAGAAGGATTAGGACCTAGAGGCGTTTTGTATGGCTGGATCCGAGTGTATGGATGAGAGCAGGAGCCAGATGAAGCTGGAAAAGAAGACAGGAACCCATGGAAAGCCCTTAAGATACCAGGCTAAGAAACAGGCCTCCATCCCATAAACAGCAGGGAAGTCTTTGAAGGTAGAAGAGTAGAGGTGTGGTTTTTATCAGAACTGCTCTTTAGAAAGTTAGCTGTAGGACAGGTGGAAGGTACACTGAAGTAGGAGAGGCTGGAAGTTACACAGCCAGTTCAGGAGAGCAGTAAGGAGGCCAAATTGCAAGGGAAGAGGAGGGATGGGTAAGGGAATGTGATGGGGTTGTTGAGAAGACTGTTGAGATGATCCCGCCTTTGGAACAAGGAAAATAAAGGATTCTTGGTAAATATATTTTACCTTAGAATATACTGTCTATAGTAAGTGAATTAGAAGTGACTTCATGCTGATCAGGAAGGCGAAACTATATGAAGACTGTTTCTCAATTTTATTTCCTTAGATGGGATAAAGCAATTGAACAGATAATTAGGCTCTCCATTTCTCTGAGAGGTCTTAGAAGGAAATAAGCCAATGAGACCTAAGTCTCTGCCTCTTGTGTCATAGCTATGGAAGCTGGTGGACCTCAGGAGTTCGTAGGGAGGGAATGGAGAGGAACAATAAGAAGACTGAGCCCCCAGCTACAAGATGTGCCTGATTCTCTTTCTTTGCTGTCCAAAGGCCCAAACTGATTCTTTCTTCTTTCCCAAAATGGATATATTTGTGGGTCCAGGCAGTTATAGCATGACCTAAGAAGAGTTACCATTATCATATCTGCTCCTACTCACATTTTCCTGGAGAACATTTGGACTATGGGAATATCCTGTTTTAGGACAACGAGTGGGAGAATAGAGGAATGGGTGGTTGGTAAATCTTCCTTCCTTTTTTGAAATCCTGGTTTTAATAGTGCTGAATTTAGTTGGCCCATGGAGGTGGGTTAGAGAGGATTGGGATAAGCCTTTTCCTCTCTATTTAATTCCTCCAACTTGATCACATGCCAGTCAACATAAATGGAGAGAGGAGAAAAGAACTGGCCGTTAAGTGCCTGAGGAGGCATGTGGATATGGAGTCAGATTGCCTGGGTTCATATTCTAGACTTCCTGTTCTGGTTGTGTAAACTTGAAAAAGTCCCTTAACTTCTCTGAGCCTCATTTGCCCCATCAGTAAAAAGAGATAGTAACACTTATCTCACAGTGATATTTTACAGATTAAATGAGTGGATATCTGTAAAGTGCCTGGAACATAACCAGTCAGCAACACTTTATCAAAATAGATCAAGCACTACGAGCATTTCATAGCTACTCTCACTTAATTCTCACATCATTTCTTTTTTTTTTTTTTAAGATTTTATTTATTTATTTGACAGACAGAGATCACAAGTAGGCAGAGAAGCAGGCAGAGAGAGAGGAAGAGAAGCAGGCTCCTCGCTGAGCAGAGAGTCCCATGTGGGGCTCGATCCCAGGACCCTGGGATCATGACCTGAGCCGAAGGCAGAGGCTTTAACCCACTGAGCCACCCAGGCACCCCAACTCTCTCTCACATCATTTCTGAGAGGCCCATTTTACTGATGAGGAAGCCGAGCCGAGGTTAATTTCTTTGCCCAAGATTGCATACTAATAAGGAGAGCTGAAATTCAAACCTAAATCTGAGTCCTTCACAGCACTAGAGGGTCCCCCCAAGAGGCCATAATCATAGAATAACAAGATAGTTGATCTACATAGCAAGGAGACTGAGGCTGAGGTGCTGAGCAAACAGTCCGGGATTTCTCCACCACATGGAGGCAAAGGTCCTATGAATAAGGTCCTCTGACTTGCACACCAGGAGTTAGGACTGGCAACCACTCCGATTTATAGGGAGTCCAGAAAAGTCCAGTCTTATCTCTGTGCTCTGTCAGGATGAGAGTGGAGGCAGAGTGGCAAGTGGAGCTGGTACCTTGGGTGCTGTATTTCAATACAGCCCAGGATTCCCTGGGAGAAAAGGGCAGGGTGGAAGGGAGCAAGTCTGTCTCCCAGGTCTGCAGATTGCTACAGTTTCATAAGAGTGGGGACTTCCTTCTCCCAATCATTAGCGAGAAGACCCATCTCAGGAGCCCCAGTACAGCCTTCCAGTTATTTCAATATATCCAATATATCCAAAGCTATGGATACATGCTTTCCTCTTTTATCTTCTTGCATTGTATCTTTGTCTTTTTAGGTCTCTCTCATTTTCTCTCTTCTCCGTGTGGACTTCCCTAACAGCTGCCCCTCACCAGGTTCCTCCTCCTTCCTGGTCATCTATAAAATGATCCCTTGATTATTTTCACTTCTGTAAAATTAAATACTGCCTTCTGAGGCTTTCTGACAGTTTCACTAAGCACACTGTCTTCCCAACAATTTAGGAGTTTCCTAAGAGCAAGGGATGTCTTGCCCCCCTCCCTTTCAATCTCCAGTAGAATATCTGATACCCGTTGATGCAAAACAGATATTGAAAAGAATCAAATTCTTTTGTGCTTTCTTCCTAACTCTTCATCCAATCCTGTTTCACAAAGAGGAAAATGGAACTCAGAGAAGGGGAGCACTTTGCTGAAGTTTTCCAGTTAGTTAATGGCAAACCTGGGGTTAAAATCAATCCCCTTGACCGTTAATACAATGATATTTCCAATACCATGCTGCCTGAAACTTAAAATATCAACTAAAAGTTTCATATTTATTGTTGAAAAATAGTGCTTATTGTACTACTAGATCTTCTTTTGGCTTGGAGGTGGAAGAACCACCACCAAAAAAAGATAATCAAAACTGTCTGGAGTGAATTATTAAATTAAAATTAGCATAATTTCCTTATATTATGTAAGATTGCCCCCCTGTATTCAATAAGACATATTTTGCCAAAAGATTTATACCTGGTGGTCTACCTTTAAACAGTTATCAAATTCTATGGGAATAATTCTTGTTTTGGTAGGAAAATACTGATCAAAAGAAAATTACAACATATTTCACAAATATGATATAGGTTGATGACATTTAAAAATTGGTTTAAAGTAGATAAGTACTGATTTCAATTCAAACAAATGTAAACCAAAGAAAAGTGCTATACAGTTGTGATTTTTTTTTTTAATGGGAATAATTATTTCAGAAGCTAGGGGAAATTGCCAGCCTTTGACATTTGGGGCAAAAAATTATTAATTAGCACTGGTATCATAAATTCACACAGCTTATATATTTCACAGATTAAAAACTCCAAAATCATTGTATTAACAACATTTTTCTTATGCAGATACATATGTATTTTGTATTGTGTGTTATACATAATTATTCAGGCACTAGAATGGAAAATACCTTTGCATTTAAGATACTAAGTACTTACCTCTCCAAAAGTTGGTGAAATTCAGTCTGGGTTGTTTCTGTTTCAAAATACTTAGTAATGTGGTTTTTCACGTTCTTTTCCCTTTTAACGTCAACATTTCTGAAACAAATGGTCCAAGATTTGACTGATATGTCAGTATATATTATCAATTAACTTTTATCTTTACATACGCGAAAGAATCACGAGGTTTTAACTTATTATTATTGTCCTAAAATAAAATGTCTCCTTTAAAAAAAAAAGAGTATTTCAGGGGTGTCTGGGTGGCTCAGTCTGTTAACTGTCTGACTCTTGATTTTGGCTGAGGTGGTGACGTCAGGGTCCTGAGAACCCTGGTAGGTCTCCACACTCAGCGCAGAGTCTGCTTGGGATTCTCTCTCTCCTTTTCCCTCTGCCCCTCTGCCCATTCTCTTCTCTCTCTCTAAAAATAAATGAATTAATAAAATATTTTAAAAAATAAACATTTAAAAAAGGACTTCAAAAACTATCGCAATTAAATTATTATGTTTATAAACATTTATACTATGAACAATTTATATAAGAAAATGAATTTTCAGTATTTTAATCCTCTTTGAAAAATGCTGAACATTCTGAGGTGTGGATTTATCAGTTTTAAAGAAATTGCAGAGATTACATTCATTTTGCCGGTGTTTTTTTTATATATTGTTCATATTCATATGTTTATTCACATATTATTTAGGTTATTAATCCAAACCTAAAAATTTTTAAACAGTAAAGTGATTAATAATGGTCATAGAGGGGTGCTTGGGTGGCTAGTCATTAAGCATCCGCCTTGGGCTCCGGTCATGATCCCAGAGTCCTGGGATTGAGCCCCACATCAGGCTCCTTGCTCAGCGGGAAGCCTGCTTCTCCCTCTCCGACTACCCCTGCTTGTGTTCCCTTTCTTGTTGTCTCTCTCTGTCAAATAAATAAATAAAATCTTTAAAAAAATAATAGTCATACAAATAAGAAACTCAATCTCACAAAACAAACTGAGGGTTGCGGGGGGGAAAGGGGTAGGGACAGGGTGGTTGGGTTATGAACATTGGGGAAGGTATATGCTATGGTGAATGCTGTGAAGTGTGTAAACCTGGTGATTCACAGACCTGCACCCCTGGGGCTAATAATACATTGTATGTTAATAAAAAAATTAAAAAAAAAATAATGGTCATAGAAAAAATGCTTCATTGGAATATGTATCTGCTCAAATTTTCAAGTTAGAAAATTATCTGGTATATTTTTAGAATCTCTGTATTTTATTGAATGAAAAAAAGTGGTCAAATATAGTTATTCACTCACAAAAAATGGTAATCCAGCGTAGTTAATTATAAATAAATAAATAGATAAGTGAATAAATAAATAAATTCAATAAGCACTAATTTAGGGCCTATTGTGGGCCCTATATCCTGTGGTAAATAAAATGGCTTAGTGCTTGATTAACGAGGACACACATTTTGTCTGTTTCCATGACCAGACCATAGCAGAAAGCACATATATGGATGAATAACACATCACCGCTGTTCTGTCTCATGGGCAGAAACATAAACAGATAATCACAACACAGAGTGGTAGGAGTTATGCTGGTGAAAAGCCCACATGATCAGAGCATTGGGGAACATAGAAGCTACAGCTGATTCAGGGGTGAGTAGGAAGTGTCAACATCAAGAAATGAAGTACAAACTCATTCTCAGAACACCTCTATTATTTTAAGGCAGGTGGAAGGTATTGATGAGTGGCAGGGGTTTAGGAGTGGGAATTGGAGAGAGTGTTGAAAAGAGATAGAACTAGAAAAATTAGCAGGAACAGCTCACAAAGGGCCTTAAAAGCTATAGTTAGGTGCTTAAGAGAGTCCAGGGATCATAACTTAGTAATAACTTACTCATTAAAATTATGTAAAAATATAAACTTTATCACATAGCTACATAATTGAGCCTTTCCTCTTACAATTCCTTGAAATGTCACTTATAAAATTCTCCTTGTTTAACTTGCTATTCTGAGAGATGAAATTCACCTGGAAATCACAATGGTTTTAATTTATTTGAATTTGACAACCGCTGTTCAAGACTAACTGACAAGATCTTGTTACTCACCAAGAGTAATGATCGGCTAAATCACAAACAAATGATATCTGATCTCCCTTTGGCTTTGTAGATAGAGGAACCAGCAACAACAAATTTCCCTTAAAACTGTCTAGAATGAAACATTATGTAACTAAAGGACAGCATGCAACCAGGGTAAGATTTGGTTAAAATGGATCTGTACTTCATCATTCTAGCTTGATTTTGCTTGTAAAGACACGAAATAGCTCAGCTATCTTTCTTCTTACAAACAAGTTTCAAGTTAATACAAGTAATGTACCCCTTCCTGTCATTAACATTTATTTCTTCTGAAAAAGAAAATATTTAGCTTGGATATATGAAAAGTAGCACAGCAGGACTTCTACTTTGCACAACTCTGGGATGCTGTTTGTATAGAACATAATGTGAAAAGTGTCCTCTGGAACTGGGAAATGCAGCTGCCCTGTAATGTTAGCCAAAACTCTTCCCATTTGAACCTTCTGTTAACCAGTATTTACATACAGCTTTGGGGCAAACAATGCTATTGATTCTGTAGAAAATTTTCTGAAATGGTCAAGAAAAATTAATGTATATTTAGAAGAGTTTAATGTCAAGTATATGCCAGTGTACTTTAATTGGGGGGGGATAATTAATTCATGTAGTGAACAAAGTGAATACTTGATTAATTAGGGCAAACCATTCCATGATCAGAGGGTTTCACATACTTTCTGCTGGAACTGTTGTCCAAATTAACAAATCTCTCAGATTATGTTTGGATTACCTGATTGAACTATGCATTTTAAAACATTAATGGGGGGCGCCTGGGTGGCTCAGTGGGTTAAGCCGCTGCCTTCGGCTCAGGTCATGATCTCAGGGTCCTGGGATCGAGTCCCGCATCGGGCTCTCTGCTCAGCGGGGAGCCTGCTTCCCTCTCTCTCTCTCTCTGCCTGCCTCTCCGTCTGCTTGTGATCTCTCTCTGTCAAATAAATAAATAAAAATCTTAAAAAAAAAAAAAACATTAATGGGAAAAGATAAAATCTGTATATAATTTTGAGCCCCAATGAAAGATATAGTGTGAAAAAATAAATGGAGGAAGGGACAAAAATCATTTATTAACTTTGGATGTTAAAAAGTCATATATGCTACTTTAAGGGCATTACCCTCACATTTTACGTCCAGCAGAATGAGCTAATTATGAAATGTATGCGTCAAAGATTTCAATTTCAGGCTTGACTTTACTTTGAAGATTAAAATTTTACTTTATCATCTTTACAGGCAGTTCAGTGGACAGCCGATCTGAATGTTACTCATTGTTCAGCGATGTATGAAGTATATTTAATCAATGTGAAGAAAGTAATATTAAACGATTATCAGCAGCCTCAAATATTCTAAATATCTCAAAAGAAAGGTCAGGAGGTAACATCACTGCTAATAATATGAGAAACAATGTATTTAACTCATTCCTTACATTACAGCTTTGCACTGGTCTGTGATTTCTTCTGTCATAAATTGTAATGAAAATACAGCAAGTGATTTTTCTACAATGTTGGAGAAATACTGGCTGCATGGGAGGATGTTATTCCAGTCTTATAACATAAGCTAAAATGCAGATTGATGTTTTTCTAGAATGATAAGCTTTTAAAGTGTTATTCCAAGGCAGAGATATAAATTATATGAAGTTATATTTTGAGAACTATATTCACTTGTTAAATATCCCAAAGATCTGAATGTAAATAATAATGTACAATAATAATTTAAATAAGGAATTACACAATCTGTAAGAAGCAATTTATGAATTCAGTTATTTTGAAACACATTGATAAAACTTAAGCAAAAATGCTAATTCAAAATAGACATTGATCCCAGAACTTTTTTTATATCTGAATTACCCATTTCTAACCCATTATTTTCTCCTGTGCTTAGCTTCAACCAGAAGAGTTAAAATTAAGTTCCTGACAAGTTTTAATTAAATCTCAGTTTGTATTTTTATCTCCAAATATCAACATGGGAGCCCTTTTTTAAATTAATTAATTTGTATATTTATTTATTTTAAAGATTTATTTGTTTAAGAGAGAGACTGAGTAGAGGGAGGGGCAAAGGGAGAAGAAGAGAGAGAGAATCTCAAGCAGATTCCCCACTGAGCGTGGAGACTGAGGCAGTGCTTGATCCTAGGACCCTACATCCCTGAGATCATAACTTCAACCAAAATTAAGAGTTGCTTAACCAATGGAGCCACCCAGGCACCTTGGGATCCCTTTTTAAAAATAAACACAGAATTCTCCCAGAAACACATCCATAAAGACAAAAGTTTGTAGAAATTAGAAATGAGAAGTATGAGCAAAATGTTCTTACTGTATTTTCCGTCCAGGTGAGATGTCTGGACCAATTATAACAAAGGCTCTGTTTTTATTCTTGTCTCCATTCCGTAGAACTCTGAGCCTCACAGGGACACTCAGCTCTGGGGTCTTACTGATAGATTTCTTCATGGGAGGACTGTTTGGAATAAGCAGTCCTTCTATTGGCCAATCAAACTCCTTCAGAAAGAAATGACAAGAATGTGATGATAAGTAAGAACAGTCATTTCTACATATAAAAAAAATTAAACACAGAACTTACACCTTTAATTTTCATTCATGCATCAAAAAATGTATTGGGGATCATCTAAGATGTTCCAGACAATTCTAATTGATGTCTCATTTAATTAAAAAGGAACAATTTTAAGATTAGTAGTTTTTTAAATGTGTGTAAAACCTGTATTGTGTCACAATATAGAAGACTTAGTTCCTCTCAGAGAATCAACATTCTAAAAAGATAAAACTGAATTAGCTTGGGATATTTTTGCTTGTGTGTGAAGTATCTTTAATCAATGTGGAGAATTATGAACAGTGGTTTTATCATAGCCTGATGCAGTATTATCTTAAAGTAGATATATTTGGCAAAGAAGAATACATTTGAGGAACTCTCCAAAAACCAAAATGAGATGACAAAAGAACTTAAACCAATCTCCTATGTTTTAGTTGCAGAACTCACTCACTGTATATCTTTCTTTCATTTATTTATTTATGCATTTTCTAAATATTAATTGATGGTTTACTATATTCCACGCACAGTGGTAGACACTGGAAATAAAACTGAACTAGACAGAATACTCTTCCACAAGGAATTTCCAGCAGATCTTCAGAAATTTACTGAGAAATAAACTGGCAATTACAATAGTATAAATACAATAGCAACAGAGTACCGGGTATGACGTGACGACAGAGGAGGAGAACCTAACTTAGAAATGCAGTGTAATGAAAATAGACTCAAAATGGATGAAGGACCTCAATGTGAGAAAGGAATCCATCAAAATCCTTGAGGAGAACACAGGCAGCAACCTCTTCTACCTCAGGTGCAGCAACTTCTTCCTAGGAACATCGCCAAAGGCAAGGGAAGCAAGGGCAAAAATGAACTATTGGGACTTCATCAAGATCAAAAGCTTTTGCACAGCAAAGGAAACAGCAAAACCAAAAGACAACTGACAGAATGGGAGAAGATGTTTGCAAACGACATATCAGATAAAGGGCTAGTATCCAAAATCTATAAAGAACTTAGCAAACTCAACATCCGAAGAACAAATAATCCAATCAAGAAATGGGCAGAGGACATGAACAGACATTTCTGCAAAGAAGACATCCAGATGGCCAACAGAAACATGAAAAAGGGCTCCACATCACTCGGCATCAGGAAAATACAAATCAAAACCACAATGAGATACCACCTCACACCAATCGGAATGGCTAAAATTAACAAGTCAGGAAATGACAGATGCTGGCGAGGATGTGGAGAAAGGGGAACCCTCCTACACTGTTGGTGGGAATGCAAGCTGGTGCAACCACTCTGGAAAACAGCATGGAGGTTCCTCAAAATGTTGAGAATAGAACTACCCTATGACCCAGCAATTGCACTACTGGGTATTTACCCTAAAGATACAAACATAGTGGTCCGAAGGGGCACGTGCACCCGAATATTTATAGCAGCAATGTCTACAATAGCCAAACTATGGGAAGAACCTAGATGTCCATCAACAGATGAATGGATAAAGATGATGTGGTATATATACACAATGGAATACTATGCAGCCATCAAAAGAAATGAAATCTTGCCATTTGTGATGATGTGGATGGAACTAGAGGGTATCATGCTTAGCAAAATAAGTCAATCGGAGAAAGACAACTATCATATGATCTCCCTGATATGAGGGAGAGGAGAAGCAACATGGGGGGTTAAGGGGGTAGGAGAAGAGTAAATGAAACAAGATGGGATTGGGAGGGAGACAAACCATAAGAGACTCTTAATCTCAAAAAACAAACTGAGGGTTGCTGGGGGAGGGAGGTAGGTAGGGAGAGGGTAGTGGGGTTATGGACATTGGGGAAGGTATGTGCTATGGTGAGTGCTGTGAAGTGTGTAAACCTGGCAATTCACAGACCTGTACCCCGGGGGCTAATAATACATTATATGTTAATAAAAAATTAAAAAAGGAAAAAAAAAAGAAATGCCATGTAGTGGAGCTGAAGCCTCCATAGGGGTTAGGGCAGTCAAGGAAGCATAAAAGGACAGGGCAGAGTGTATATACAAAACTTAAGGATTAACAGAACATGATATCTGGGGGATAAAGAGAGGGAAGGATTGATTGTTCCCAGGTTTGTAGTTTGAGCACCTGGGTGGACGGTATGGCCAGTCACAAAAATAAATATTTGTGGAAGAAGTGTAAATGAGGGAACAGATGATCAGAGACGATGTTGTTAAGCCAAGGTCTCAATTGTTTCATTTTTTTCTATCTGCAAAACAATTGTCCTGGCAGCAGTTAATCCCCCACTGCAACGACCACGCTATAAAATATCACAATTCCATATAACTGTGCATCGGTTTCTACGTACTCTACTCTCTTCAATTGCTGATTTCCCTACCCTGCACAGTACCATGCTGCCTTGATTATAATACATTTATATCTCATAAAGTTTGATATCACATAGGGCAACTACCCCACCTTGTTATTCTTCTTTGGAAAATGGCTCTTATTAGCCCTTTGATATTTCATATATATTTATAAATCAGCTTGCTTAGTTTTCTAACAGTCTGTGTGGGATATAAATGTTCTGCAGAGCTTCCTATCAATCTTATTTTGTTAAGATTTTTTTCTTGAATGTCCACTGAATCACGTAAGGCTCTATTTTCTGCATTTATTGAGATGTGCTCATATGATTATTTATCCTTTTCACTGGCTATGTGTTAATTACATTAATTGATTTTTTTGAGATGTTAAACTAATATGCATTCCTGGACCAATCCAAATTGGTCACAACATATTATCTTTTTTTATAGATTGCTGAATTCAATTTGTCACTATTTTCTTTAGGATTTTTACATGTATGTTCATAAATGAAATTAACATGCTATTTCTTATATGTACCTTGTCAAGTTTTAGTATTAAGTTTATCCCAGCCTCAAGAAATGAGTTAGAAACTGTTGCTATTTTTTGTATTCTGAAATACTTGCTACTTATACATTTGGTAGAATTTGCCAATAAAACTATTTGATATTGGTGTTCTCTTTGTGGGGAGATTTTAACTATTGATTCTGTTTCTTCTACAATTATGGGATTCATTACGGAAGATTCATTCCATAATGAATCTTCTTGATTCCATCCTAAGTTACTTAAGTGTGTGAACTTGACCATTCTATTTATCTAAATTATAATATTTATTAGCACAAAGTTACTAATCCTTATTATCTTCTTAATCTCTCAGTATCTGTATTTTTATCTTTCCTTTATTTTTAGTATTATTTACCTTTACCATTTCTTTCTTAATCAGTGTAGCCAGATATATCCATTTTATTAATGTTTTCAAAATGAGTTTTTTACTTCGTTGACTGTTTTGTATGTATCAAATATTGTATCAGTTTCTGTTCTTATAATTCCTATTTCCTTCTTTTTAATTCTTTGAGTTTATTTTGCTATTATTTTCCTAACCTTTCAAATTGGAAGCTTAACACATTAATTTTTAGCCTCTTTTCTTTTGTAATTTAAGTATTTTAAGTTCATACATTTCCCTCAAGTATGCTTTAGCTGTATCTCACACATTTTGCTTTGATTGTAAATACAGTATTTCCTTTTTAGATGTTCATCATGACTTCTTCTTTGTCTCATGAGTTACAATGTCTATTTAGATTTCACAATATAAGGCTTTTTCTATTTATTTATTTATTTGTTTGTTTGTTTTTGACAATCAATCAGCAAAACCTGCTTCTACTTACAAAATATATCTACAACCCATCTGCTCTTCATCACCTCCACCACCCTCGTCCACTAGTTTCTCTCACCTACAAATTGCAAAACCCTTCTAATTACTTATTCCTACTTCCACCTCAGCCCCTTTCTACTCCATTATCACAATGACCTTACTATTGTTTAAGTCAGAGCACATCACTTCTGACTCCAAATCCTCCAGTGGCTTCCCATCTTAATAAGAGCTAAATGTTTTAAAATGGCGTACAAGGTTCTGCAGACTCTGTACCCAAATTTTTCTCTCTCATCTTATCTCCCACTGCTCTCCCCCTCACTCACACTGCTGCTGCCATAATTATCTCATTGTTCCTCAAAGACACCATTTCAGGTTTTTTGCAATTCTTGGCATGCTCTTGCCCTAAAGAGCTTCTTGTTCTACAGATCTTTACTCAAGTATCACCTCAATGAAGCCTTCCCAGGTCAATCAAAAATTACAAATCCTGTCCTTCCTCACCTGCTCCCTACAACATCCCCTACACCCTGTCTTCGCTTCTATTTTCTTCTTCACTCTTATCACTGACTAACATTCAGAAGAGCATCCCGTGAAGAGGCTAAGAGCTTGGGCTGTAGAGCCAGACTTCCCGAATTTGAATTTTTGACCCATCATTCTTGTTGTGTAAACTTGGGCAAACCTTTGACCTAAAAGAGATGGAAGTTGACAGATAAATTCTTTCCTTTTTCTCCTCCAGAAGATCACTGTTTAAATGGCTTCTTGGAGGAAAGCTTGATAGTACATTTTTATATTGGTTCCCCTTCCTTTCCTGCTTATCCCTGAGACTGCACATCCTAATAAGGGAGAAGCACATAAGCCATTTCCCTCAGGTTCTGTCTTCTGAGGAGCCCAGGCAAAGACACCACAATCCACATGAACTATAAATGGAAGAAGTTTCCTAAAGGGGATGTGGGTACCAATACCCAGAGGAAGAAGAAGTCAGAATACGCAGGCAGAAAGCTCAGACTATCACTACAGGGGTGGTTCTACTGTCCTATCAGTGTCTAACTGACATGACAAAGATGAAGTTACAGGTGGGTTGGGGAGACATGCTGGCCTGTTAGATTAATACAGACCAAGATGCATGGCCATTCATTTATGGAAAAGGAGACCATTTTTTAAAAGCTAGTGTAATATGAAAAATTTACTAATTTATATTCTCAAAAAGTTTTTAGAATCTTGCAATTATATTGAAAAATCAATCATATAGTACA